GTCCTGTAGGAATCACAGCCTTCCTTTCTCAGCATCGTGGTGGGACACCACGCCTGCAGAGCCCCGCTGTGTGACAGCGAGAGCAGGGCTGGGGCAGCCACGCTCGGGGCAACCGTGCTGGGCGCAGGGTCAGCGCTGCTCACGCCGAGGAGCTGCACCGCACCTTTGCTCCTCAAGACAATGCAAGCTCTAGACGCAGTGACACCCCAAATGAGCTGAAGGAGGAAAGGACTGTCCACCCAAAGGAATAACTTCCTTTGTACCTTTCCTTCTAGCAGTTTTAATTCCCCTGTTTTTCCACCCCCTCTTCACCCCTCCCTGCAGATGAGGCTGACAACTACGAGTACTATGATGAGTACACGCAACCAGAGCAGGACCCCTTCCAACAGCAGCAGCCCTCGGAAGACCCTGACTGGTTTGAGGCATTTTTTGGCTACAGCGACACCACAAAAGGTACCTTTGAGGGGTAGGAAGGGGTAAAATCCCAACCCTGCGCTTGCAGCGTGAGAGTGGCAGGCCTCGGCTGCCAGCCTGCTCTCGAAATGCCTGCATCAAAGGGATGAGTTAGGAGGATTGTTTGCAGTGTTCTCCTTTGTATTTCTCTTGTAAGGAGCCTGTGTTTTATCTCTGGGTTTCACAGGATGGATTCTGATCATGCAGAACATTTCTGATTGCTACTACAAAAAAGCACAGGCTTATTTGTCTATAGGCACTGTAAGATGTAATTGTTGTTTTCATGGTATATATGTTCTGTATTTATGCTGAGAGCCAAATGTAGAGCAGGTTTGGGTTGTTTTTTTTTTTTTTCCTTTTTCCTAGTTGCAGAGTATTTCTCTTCTCGGTTCCCTCTTGCCAGACTTCTGGAGAGCAGGGAAGGATCTTTGAGATTGCTCAAGGAACACAAAAGGGGAGACAGGAAAGTTATCATCCCCTGGGTTGTCCTCTGGTACAAAGAAAGCAAAGCTGGTATGTGGCTGTCTCCAGCGCCAATTGCTCCTGGCAGACCGGGGTGGGGAGGCTGAGCATGGTATAAGAAGCAGCACCCAAGTGACGCTCAGCAGGTGCCTGCTCCTTTGCAGCAATAGCCACCCAGAAGTATTAGGCAGTATAATGGTGGCGGATGGCTTTTCCAGGGGAGATCTAGTGCCATGTTGCAGCCAGGGCAAGGCCAAATCCAGCTCCGTCCATGCTAAGTGCATGGAGGCGGATGCCTAGGGCTAGCTCTGGCTCTTAAGGCACCTGCTTCTGCCGCTGCCATAAAGGCAAATCTGAGCAAAAGAAGGAACTTGCCCTGTTTTAGTTCTATCACAGACATGGCCAAGGGAGCTCCAGCCCCAAATCCATGAGCTCTTACAGCTTGCAATAGGCTCTGTAGCAATTCACAGCTGCTCCTGATCTGATGAGCTGATGCATAAATGCAGCACCTGTTAACTTGGGATGCTGTGGCCAGGAAGGCAGCTCCTGCAGTCAGAAAAGGCAGGAAGAAAAAAAAGCAGGTGATGGGTGTGGAGAGGCTGAAAGAAACTAAAAGATCTCTACCCTCACCCCAGCAGACCCATGCTCTTCCAGCCCCTGCAAGAACAACGGTAGGTGTGAAAACAGTGGAAGCAGCTTCAGATGTCTCTGCCCTGAGCCATTTGCTGGGACTACGTGCGAGAAAGGTAATTGCTCTTTTTCTGACTTACACTCCTTGTTTTGGCAACTAGTGGTACTGTTACAGCTCTGTCAAGGGAAGCAAGTCCAGGGCTTTCTAAGCCCGCTGTTTGCTGTGGTGAGGGTGTTGACTGCCCACCGCAGTCATGTTGATAGGTCTCACTTTTTGTCCAGGCTGTCTAAAGTGGTATCCAGTAAAAGAGACATCAGGTTTGCAGAAAGTGCTCTTCTATCCCCTGCCAGGTGTGCAGTGGTGAGCTGCTCATCAGTCCTGCATTGTGTTTTTGCCACAGATACTGTGAACAAGAAAGGAAATCCCACATCCACGCCAGCCAGATAAAAGCCTCCCCAGGCTGTTGGGAGAAAGCATGTCTCCCCATGATCCCTGCGAGGGCATGGCTCTCACGCACGCACAGACACTGGTGAAGTGCTTTGTGTCTCTTTTCCACAGTGACAGACGTGTGTCTGGAGAAGAAGTGCCATGGGGGACACTGCCTGATTACATTAACCCCACCTTATTATCAGTGTCGCTGCATTCATCCCTATAAACCACCTGACTGCCACCGAGGTGAGCACAGCCCCGTCGGAAAAGGCTCCCACGGAGCAGGACGCTGGGTGAACTGCGGTGGGGACGGCACAGCGAGGTCACCTCGCTGCAGACGGGCAGCAGTGGGAGACGACATGCAGCCCACCACAGGGGGTGGTCCTGCCCTGGCCATCCAGCCTGAGTCTGCTGTGACTTCCCTCTCCGTGGGGCTGGTCAGTGATGGGTCGTGCTGGATTTACAGGGTGGTGGTTTGCCCACTGGTGAGACCCCCGGCAATAAGTGTTTTTCGCAGGTTCTTACAAACTTGAAGCCAACAGGCTCAGTGGGAGCTCTCACCAGTTTCCACTGGGCGAGCAAATGGCTGCATAGCAGAATGACCCGGCTGTTCTGTGTTTTCCGTGTTGACAGCATCTTCCCCGTGCAGACCAAACCCCTGCAAAAATGGAGGTGTCTGTATACGTCACAGAGTCAGATCAAAATTCACCTGCAAGTGCCCTGAACCTTTCAGAGGGAGATTCTGTGAGATCGGTACGTCACAACTCCAGGGGAGGGGGTAGGGGAGAAGCCTCCAGAGAGCCAAGGGCTGGCTTCACCCTGCAGTCAAAGGGTTTGATGCTGTCATCACAAGTATTGACTGCACCCAGGGCACCAGCCTCTTTGGAGAGAGTGTCAGAAGAGGCTGATTTCTTCAGCCACCACCAGCAAGGGGCTGAAAGCAGTTCCCATACTGATGTTTTCTAAGTGTCTTCAGCACGGTCCCACAGGAGAGGCACACGTTTCTCAGAGGTTGTATCTGTCCCATGGAGAAGGAACATTGAGCTTTCCTTAAACACTCGAAAGCTGGTGTTGTGAAGATTCATGTCCAATTGCCTGTGGCTCCCCAAGCTGGGGGGGGACACCCACTGACACACAGGTGGGTGACCAAGGGCAAGGGATCACCCCAGCCTGCATGGCAAGCCCTCTGCAGCACAACCCACGCACCTTTCTAGGGAGACGCATTTGTTTGTTTCAGGTTTAGAAGTTGATTGCTCTTCAGACTCCATGTACCTCTCCCTCAGGTTAGGGTCACACCACCACAACCTTCCTTTTGGCACATCCATTGCCCCAGCACGATAGCAGCGCTGTGCCCCCTTCTGTCTAATCCTGCCGATAACATTTCTTGCCCAGGGCACTGACGGAGAGATTCTGCTTTGGAGCTGCTGGGTCTTTACCGTGCAAAGAAGTTTCAGGTATTTGAAGCCAACCAAGCTTCAAGCTGGACAGATGTTGGGACATTACTCTTATTTGTGGCCTATGTAGGATAAGGGTTATCACTACGTGACCCAGTAGGTCCTTCTGATCCTCTGTAAAATGAATGGAAGGGAAGGCAGAGGAACTGCTTTGGGCAAGGAACCACACAAGTCATTCTCTTATCAGCATTGTCTTGCTACAGGACTGGATGACTGTTATGAAGAGCCCTCCTCTGAGTACAGGGGAAGAGTGAACCAAGCAGTGAATGGCAAGACCTGCCTCCACTGGAATTCCCACGTTCTCTTGCGCTACCCTATCAATGCTTTCATGGAGGACGCTGACGCTTACGGCATCGGTGAACATAACTTCTGCAGGTAACACTTTGAAGAAGCAACTGTGGGGGTCTATAGCAACCTGAACAGTGAGAACAAGCTGCTCATTAATCTGGCAAAATTATGGTGTTAAGGTCTCCTATCTTTCTAGCCACTGCCTGTCTATAAAATACCAGGATGTTAGAGATGCATTGTCTAAGTAACTGTACTGATGTGAGTCTTCTGGAAGCAGCCCTCGTTTCCCTGGATCGCTCAATTTTTCTTAGGGTTAAGATAGGTATGGGGATAGTAAAATGGCAGAAGCCCCACTCCCTTACCTCAGGCATCTTCTTTGTCACATCTTACGAAAGAGTCTCTTTGGAAATTTGGCTCTCATATGGGAGCATGAGGCTGCTTCCCTAAGCATCCTCAGCTTCTTCACTGGTTTTGTGGGGATTTCCCCATTCCCGTTGGCTGATGCTCTCAACTATTCCCTTCAGGAATCCCGATGAGGATGAAAAACCCTGGTGCTACATCAGAAAAAATGACAAAGTGGAATGGGACTTCTGTGACATTTCACCCTGCTCAGAAACAGGTAAAGAACTAAAAGTGAGCTGTTTGGCAGCGTGTAGGTGGTCCAGAGCAGGTGATCCCGTTACTCAACTTCTCCAGCCTGATACTACCTCTGCGTTACACATCTGCTGTCTCTTCCAACGCAGCTGAAAAGACCCCGTGGCCAACAGACAGCCCAGCAGACCCACCTGGATCAAATGAAATATTTAAAACTTGTGGACAACCAGAAATTCAGAGGTCACTCAAGAGGATCTACGGCGGAGCTAAGACCACAGCTGGCAAACATCCCTGGATGGCATCTCTGCAGAGAAAGACTCCAAAAAGGAGCAGACATTTCTGTGGTGGAGTGCTAATTAAAGCATGCTGGGTTCTTACTGCCGGGCACTGCATTGAGTAGGTGCATGTCCCATGCCTAGGGTACATGAACATTTAAAAATCACAGTGGTTATTAAAGACAGTTTGGAATCCGAATTATTTCCAATCTAAATGATGGATGGAAATCAAATCGAATGGAAAGCATACATGTGAAAAAATGAACACATACATGAAAAAAATATATGGTTGAATTTAGTGCTTGCTGGAATAACAAATTAAACTTAGCCCCCAGTCACCTAAAATGAGCTAAAATAGTTGTGTTAGAGGAAAATAGGAAGAATGTAACAAAGTTTTGCAGTGTATGAAAGAAGGATTCCTTGAAAAACTCAAGGTATATTGGGATACCATAAGCAACATCATATATTGCATCATAATTAATATCTCTAGAACAGCCAAAATAAGCTTTTTGCTTTCAATTGTTTATATGCCAGACAGCTTAGACCATGACATTTCCTTCAGTGTTTCCGTTGAACAGGTTGGAAACCACAATCCTTGGAAATGCATAAATTATGCAGTGGAGATCAATCCATCAATCCAGCAGATGATTTTAAGTATGCCCAGACAATGGCCAGCAACTGTACTCCCATGGCACGATGAGTTACCACTCATCACAGACACTTGGAAATTAATAAATTATGCAGTGGAGACCAATCCAGCACAGATGATTTTAAGCATGCCCAGACAATGGCCAGCAACTGTACTCCCATGGCACGATGAGTTACCACTCATCACAGACACAGTAACGGACTGTGCGCATGCTACTACTCTGCCAAAAACGCAAAGAAAAGAGTATTCGTGCAGTTTAAATCATTTTTCTTCATGACTGCAACAAGTTAGGAGCACATGTATTGTCCAGTACCACCACTTCCCTGACTAAGCCCTCCTATAACAGTCTCAGGAAATCTTTTGGCCAGGCTCTACAGGAGGAAGCAGTATCTTGACTTCCAGATACTGGAAAATACATTTTTTCACCACTATTGATAGGCAATGTCTGCATGTAACTGACTTTTCTTTTTTTCTTCAGCCAGCCAGCAGAAAATCTCCAAGTAGCCCTTGGAAAGCAAGACCTCAAGAAAAGCGAGCATCAAGAGCAAATATTTGATGTGGAGAAGATCATTGTGCATTACAAATACAGAGAGAGGAATGGTGTGCCATACAATGATATTGGTAAACCCCTTTTCTTGAATATTCACGTGGCTCATCTCCCACCTCAGTTGTTTGAAGCGCCTCTCTCCGGCTAAAGTCAGTGTAAAATTCATTCCTATTGAGAATGGATCCTGGAAATGATTAGGCCAAATTGTGGTTTAGACCTGTTTGACTCTTTGGGATATGAATTGTGATGTGCAGTCAGAAATCACTGGGGGTGGTGGAGCAAAAAATCAGGGAGAGGTCCAGTTTGTAGTGGAAATAGCACATCACGTACATGCAGCTTTGCGGCGGGTTGGGTCACAGACCAGTGATGATGGCTAGGGATTAAAATCAGCTACAAATCCTTTTTGCTGTTGTTTATTTTCTCTCCAGCATTACTTAAATTGAAGCCAGTTGACGGTCGCTGTGCAGTGGAAACAAAGTATGTGAAAACGGCGTGCCTGCCGAACTTCCTCCTTCCTGTAGGGACTGACTGCTTCATTTCTGGTTGGGGCACGACGGAGAGAGGTACCTGCGGGCTAGATAGGCTTTGGTGGGTACTTCCGAGGCAAGGTGGGCTGGTATTTCAGTAGCAACTACCTGACCCAAATCTGGAGCTAGGCAGTTAGTGAAACCAAGACATGGAATTCAAAACCAAGGACGGCTAAAGCCTGCCATGGAAATTACTCATTAGCAGAAGTCTCCAACTGCTAGACCAACCAAACCTTTCAGAGTGCTGAAAAAAATCCCTGTAATGGGTTGGTGTTTTTTTTTTTTTTTGCTTGCCATCCAACACACCATGTCATGGTTTCATCTGAAGCCAGCAACAGAAGCAAGGAAGTATCAAGAGAGAGGCTATTGTATAGTTTGAGTGTTTCAAGACAGGACCAAGAAAGATGGGAACTTTCACATGGTTTTCCAGCCCATTGGGTCAGATAAAGCTTTTCAGAAGCAGCATCTGGATCTTCAGATGCGCTGAAAAATATATTTCAAAAAAAAAGAAATCCAAAGCTTTTCAAGTTCAACCAGCTCTATCCAAAACCTTTCTTGCCCGCCGTAAATCCTAAGGGGAGAAATTACTATGCTTAAAAAAAAAGATAATGGCAATTTTCTGAAAAATGCATTTTCTCATGTTCTGATTGATGTGTTGCTGTAAAGCAGCAGAAGGAAAATGTGTCACTGAGGCTGCAGTAGGTGTCCTAGTGCTTTGTGACTGATACAGCCTGATACGGTACATAGGACCAAATTCTCCCTTCTGATGTAACTCCCATTGAAGTCCACAAGAGACAAGCGCGCTCATTTGATCAGAATGCACCAACAGAATTTAATGGACATTTTTTAAAAGTTCCAAATAAAAAGTCTCTCTTAAAAAGGGTACGGGGAAATTTTTTTTTCCCGCCAACAAAGAGTATCGAGTTATCCTGTACGTGTTCAAACTAGATGGCTCCTTCTCTTTGAGCAGAGCTATTATTAGCATTTCAGGAAATCACTACAGAAATGGAATATTTCCTGAAACTCAAGCAGAACCAAACTTATAAACCACCTTTAATTATCTACAGATGTAGTGCTTTGAAATTCTGGCTATTGCCTTTAGATGTCAAGTTATGTCTTTAGATTCACTATAATTAATCATTGCCCTTAAATATTGTATGATTTTCAGTTTTCATCTGTTTCATTAGCCTGCGTGTTAAAACATCTAATGGCAGCAGTCTGAGAAGTGCTGAGTGGCCCTAAGTCCCACTGGGACCCGTGGGAGCTGCAGACAACCAGCACCTTTGAAAAGCAGGATTACACAGGCAGAGCTGATCGGAGCCAAATTCTGAATACCTGACTTTGCTTTTATTCAGGCAACAATTTGGTGTCGTGAGTGAAGCTTCCAGGCTCCAACTCTAACCCTTGACATTTCAGACAGATGCTTCTTTTCTTCCCAGGCTAGCCCATGCATCCCCCCTGCTCTTCCCCTTTCCCATCCAAATGGCAAGCAAGCTCCTATTTTGAACAAAGACAACATGTTACAGGATTGGGAGGAAGGTGACTCCATTTTTTTGGTGCACATTCCGTAGATGACATATCCCATCAGCTGTTAGATGCCAACGTCAAGCTGATTTCGCAGAGGAAATGCAATGCACCCAGAGCACATGACAACGTACTGGATGAAAGCATGTTTTGTGCAGGAAACCTTCAGAGACCCGGAGCTGATTCTTGTCAGGTCTGTTGCTTTTTCTGTATTTGAACATTAATTTTTTGTGTAAATAGTCAGAGGCTGTGCAGAGTAGTATCTTTGGCAGGGTGCTGCCTATGTATGTTTCTCCCATCAGTCTTTTTCCACAGCCATCGTCTTCAGGGCAGTTTGAGATGTATAACCCTAGAGCGAATGTTCTCCCTGTCAGCCACAGGCAGATCTGTGGAGGCCAGAGACCAGCAGGGCAAGTTTGGCTTCTGAGGCAGTTTGACACAATAACCTCTGCCACGAGCACTAATTCTAATCTGATTTTCACTATCCAAGCTAAAACTGGTGGGGAAAGCCAGGATTGGTATTTCTTTTCATTACAGCTAGGGCAAATGCGAAGCAAGCTCCTATTTAGGTGGTCGTAAGAAAGGGAAGAGATTGAACAACACTTCCTGAGCTGCAAACTGCCACGGCAAACGTACTTTGCAATACAAATCACTAATACAACAAAAAAACTTGACCAGCTCAGAATAAAGTTATTTTGAGGGGTGTGGGAGAGATGAAGTGTTCCTATTTACACCCAGGATCACGTCTTTTATCTTTCTGAGCGCAGGCTCTGAATGCCTGGTACTTCCATGTCTGGGAAATTTCATGTGACCTTGTCAGATATACGTGTCAGACTTGAACAAACAAACTTATATCCATGAAGTTTGGTTTCGTTTGACCTGGTTCCAGAGCTGCAAGCCTACCCAGGAACTGAGCTGCATCTGATGGTACATCCACTAGGGAAAAAACCCCGTCATTACAGCTTCCAAGTCTTCTGATGGGAGAGAAGCATTCCTATTTTGGTTAACGCTTTTCTTCATGTTTTGAACATGTGTGCTTTTTCTCCCCAGGGAGACTCCGGAGGCCCGCTGACTTGTGTGGAAAACGGCTCCTACTACATATACGGCCTCGTGAGCTGGGGGGATGGGTGCGGGTTAAAAAACAAGCCAGGAGTTTATACCCAGGTGACAACGTTTCTCAGTTGGATTAAATCCAAAATTCGGTCTGAGTCAAGGTCACTTAATTAGGAGACAGCTTTGGAATGACAAATGGTAAGCTTGAGATATTTACTTATTTTTATCTTTTCCCCAAATGCCTCCTCTATGACCAAAAACATTATCAATATTTCCTCCTGGCCTACAAAGCGCATCCTTCATCACCATCTTGAAAGCCTTAGTGCGTTTGCTAGAATGTCAGCGACAGATTTCTTGTTGGGGGCTGTGAAGTTAAGTCCACATTCTATAGGCAAAGTGGATCAGAAAGTAAAGCAACTCCAGTCCTTTCCCAAATCAATCAGGGCTGCAGTTGCCATTGTTTCCAGTCTGCTTTTCAGGCCCTGAAAGTTCTGCAGGCTCAGCTGCTGCCACCCCCTCGCCCTTCCCCTCCTGCCCCTGGCCAAGGTATGCTTTTCTGCACTCATCGGACCCTGACACCTCAAGGCTGTTGCTGTGTGCTCCTAAAGCCTGTGCTGTTCCTCCCATACGTAAAACTCCACACGTGCCTATGTTTGCAGGAGTACAGTCATTGGAATTATCTGAGGAGGGAGGATCATGCAGGAGAATTATTTTTTATAGCACTTCTGTAGGGCAAATAACTACGAATTCCACCAGTGATGCACTCCAGATTGAAAAAGAAAAAATCACTATTAGAATCATCCTTTTTATACCTGATTAGAGGATAATTAGTTATTATGTTCCAGATCTACAATGGTACATATGGTCTTAACTTCAGTTCATACCAGTGAGATGTAGGGGGTATTAAATACCATTAAAAAAGGGTCTAAAGCTATGAGGTAATTTTTGAGTTTTCATGAATTTCCCAAGTTGAATTGTACATTTTTTTTTTTTCCCCAATGATTCTAACCCTATACAGAAATTTGAAAACCAGGGGATTATTATTAAGAGGATATAAAGAATAGACATATTTGTGAGGAGTCGGTTAGTTAAAACCGTAATGTCTTTTCATCTGAACTGCAGGATTTCAACCTTCTCTAAGCAGCTACCAAATCTATCAAGAGCTACCCTTGTTGCTGCCATTTCTAACAAACTAGTTCTAATTTTTTTTTTTTTTTTGCCTTGGAAGATTTGAAAAAGACTGAAGAACGAATTGTGGTCTGAATAGATCCTGTTAATCAAGAACCGATTTCCTGATGTCTGCCAAGAAGCGTGCTCTTGGCTAATCAGTGATAACTTTGCTTCCACTGGCCTTTGTCTTGTTCATCTGTGAAAGCACCTGAAGCACACTTTTGCGTTCTTTTAGGTCAATGGTGCCAATAATCCAGGAACATAAAAATCTCCAAAGATGAAATCTCCAAGTATGGAATCAGATTCATCTGATTTATTCATTACAAATTATTATATATTCTACCAATCAGGTTAATTCATCTGTAGTACGAAGCTGAGCCTGCCAGTCACCTAGTACTAATTACATTTACAGCTTTAAATAAATATCAAATTCTGCAATACATATAGTGATAAAATATCCACACAAAAAACAGAAAGATGTTATAAATTGCAATGTTTAGGTTTCTTTTTAAAACAAAAAAATTCTCAGACGCTATCTATTGTGCTTCTCCGAAAACTGGAAAAGCTGCAGGATGTGTGTTATATCGAGTTTGTGTTTACTTCTGATACAGCTGCATTTTCCTTTGTTTAGGTTGCTTTTTAAAACAAATTCTCAGACGCTATCTGTTGTGCTTCTCCGAAAACTGGAAAAGCTGCAGGATGTGTGTTATATCGAGTTTGTGTTTACTTCTGATACAGCTGCATTTTCCTTTTCTTGACTTGCAGAATTTCTGAAGCATCAGGGTTGACTGTGACCTGCTGAGATCCATCCGTATCCAATTGGTCCTGTTAAATCAAACCCAACTAAATTGTGAGGACAGCCAGGGGACAGGAGAAGGTTTTAACAATTATTCTGTAAAAGTATTTGTACATTAAAAATTACCTCAACTGGAAAACAAATGAGTGAAATCTGAACCACTGCTCTGCACTGAGCAAATCTCCACCATGGAAAAGTGAGAAAAATGGAACATTCATCTAAGTTAGATACTGCACATATCAAAGGACTGAATGTGCTCAAGTACTCATTTCTAATGTGAGCCCCAAATAAAGAGCAAACCAGCAAACACCTGAGTTCCAGGTGGATTGCACACCTGTAGATCCCCCCGGGACCATCAGATCTTTATCATACGTAGGACTGAAGAAGATATTGCCTGCAGTCCCTGCTGCCTGCATTCCTTGACCACAGTTATGATTTATTTCCTGAGTAACTCTTCAGATGGGAATGTAAATGATGGATATGTCCTGTTTCTCTTGGTCTGGCTTATTGTTTGACTTGTTGCCAAAGTTAAATGAAACAAGTATTTGAAGTGCAGAACTTCTCTTTTGTTGTAACTTAATGCTCCCTGACTGTAGGGGCTACAGCGTCCCTGTATGGACTTTTGCTCTCTTGTGCTGCAACATTGCAGACTGGGAGTCATCCCTGCGGGGGTAGGGAGAAGGAAAACCTGGAAGATCTCAGCTTGTAATTTCTTGCGTCTTGGGCTGGAAAGAGATGGAGGAGGCTGGAGGATTCTTCCCCTTTGCAAAAAGCCTCCCACAGCACACATATGTCATTACGAGACTACACGGAGCCTGTCAATACAGTTGCCAGTGGAGATTACATGGCAACACGGATGTGCCTTGCTGCAACTGAGAAGAGAGAGGGGGAGCTGTGCGGGGAGTCCTTTCCACCTCTACTTCTGCTTTCCGCAGAGGTACCAGGACACGTGGAGATCTGACAACACCCACAAGTTTAGGGAAACACATCCCACAGTGTAAGTACATCCTATCCTGTGGCACTTCCTAGTCCCTACAGGAATTCCTCGGGTGAACTCTCGAGAGGTTCCTTCAAATTAAGGTGTACACAAAGCTTCCCGAAGGAAGCGTATATATTCTGTTCAAATAATGGGGAGAACTGTAGACTCCAGGGAGCACTCAAAAGCATTAAACCAGATGCGTGCCTGTCTGCCTTCTACAGAGCAGAGCTGCTGGGATTTGTGAGAACTGTTTACCCTACTTACAACTCGAGGTCCGTACTGAGCAGAAGCACCCTGCAGTCCCATTTCTCGGATGTATGCCAACTCAGCAGCTCTCCTTGCCATTTCAACTTTGTGAGAACCTGGGGGAGTCCAGCCAAGGCCCCTGAGCCAGTTCAAGTCAGACTTGTATTTTACCTGAGCAAATGAAACATACATCAATGTGTATTATTTGGTTTGGCTCTAATCAAACCACATGCCATGGGTATTCAAGAAAGCATATAAAAAGCAATGGAGTCAATAATAAACACATTACTCATTTTCAGCAAACAGACTAGTTCTTTCAAGAATGTGATTCTGTTGATAGGTAAGGTCTGCAAAGCACGTTGTCACAGGTAGCGCTTACCACTTGGAAGGCCAGTGTCACTCAGATATACTCACATCACTCTGCAGCTTGTAGGCCTGCTTTGCGTGCTTCACATTTAGCTGCTCAGGATCACAGGTGTACTGGTGCAAAGGCTGCCTGTAGTTAACGCTGCTTGCAAGCTGCTGGCTTCTCTTAGCATGGAGGAATCCTGGCTGGTTGAGGTGACTGTGGAACTGTGCCCTGTTTTGGGCATATCCACTCCTGTATTGGTTGTCACTTTGGAGTTTCCCCACTCTGAGGACATGCCTGATATTGGGATCATCATTTGCACTGAGGAATCCAATCTGCTGGCCTCTATCTCTCAGGAAGGCTTCTCTGTATTTGTACTGCAGGAAGTGCAGAGGAAAATCTCACTTTCACATTCAGATTATCTTCAAATTCTGTTATGAAATAACTTACCCTCCCCTAGCTATCAATTATACTTCCTGTATTGCACAAAGTCCAAGGGTTTGTTCGATATCAAATTACATCTCCTAATCTAACAAGACTCTCTGGTTTCACTGGGTCACCAATTTTTCAAACCAGAACAAGGTTCACTTACGTCAGAATTCCCCCATTTTTACAGGATGGGGGTGACATGGGAAGAGGGTTGGGAATTGTTTGAAACAGAACAATTCTTACATCACTAGCAATCTCTCTTGAAGCCTTCGCTGTCTGGAATGGGATGGCGTCAATTCTAAAATCATAGCCAGATGCCCTTGTCTGTTCCCAAGATGTTTTATACAATTTCTGTGTTGAAAAGAAAAGAAAAAAACCAGTCATTTCCCCCTGCAGTTTCTTAAATGCAGTCCCATAACTGCAATAATAAATGTTTTATCCTACTGAGTATATTTGTATCAAGAGTCATCAGTACCATCTCCAAGGTTTTGATCCAGTTCTATGACACTTCAACTTCTTTTCTATTCCCCATAATGATAAAATGCCTCATCTGAAAAGTGCCACCAGGGTTTCCTTTTGTACTTGAATGTGGTTGGTTTTGATGTGATTTAATTTCTATTAGAAACCGGGATGCATCAGTCACATCAATATTGCATTGATATTGCCCTTATTCTCTCTTTTGATGCATCCACTTGCAGTGTCTTGGGTTTCGTGGCATCATAATTTCAATACCAGTTATTTCAAGCTTTTCGACTGATTCCTGTCTCTATCCCCAGCCACATGTGGATTCATTAACTCATATGGAATAACAGCCAGCTCTAACATATTTAATGTGACTTTGAGGATGTGAAATACATTTACATCCTGAAAAGAAATTGCTCTAGATTTGGGTTCTTCTTCCATTAGTAGCTTTCCTAAAACAGCTTCCCGTCTCCAGGTCCTGCTATACAGCCATGGGATCTTAGCTGACAATTTCGGCTGTCCCATTCTGATTCTATTAATTTGGTTTCTGTAAGACTTTGATTCAACCTTTCTGGGGTTTGTGACCATATGAAAAGAAACATAAAATCCACCTCACATTTCAAAAGGTATTCTTCTGCTTCACTGGTGAATTTAGGGCTAGGTGGTGCTTAATTTTAAGGTAAACTGGGATGCCAGAAATCCTGCAAGACAGCCTGGGTAGAAGCAATGTGGGCATTATTGTGCACCCTGCTAACAGGTCTGGGTGTAATCTTTCATTTGTGTGCCATCACCCCTTTGCCTTTTTACCTTTTACTCCATCACTTCAAAGGACATAAACCTTATTTGTTTCATTCACCTACAGAGCACCTATCACCGAACAAAGGAACTACAAGCTTTTTATAAACTAAGGTCACTCTGACCCTGCAGTTAGGGACAATAGCTGTTTAATCAGGGAACAGTAGATTAGGAATAGACCGAGTGCCTCTGTCTGGGATAATGTGGAAACAAAATCCATTTAAACCAATTCCACTCACCGACTCAGTTGCATCCAGGTTAATGACAACTGTGCCTAAGGGATCAGTTCAACACAGTGTTGCAGCTTCATGAAGATAGACTATATAGTCAAGGAAAAAGGATTCTCCCTCCTACCCTACCCATATTTGTAACTACCCATACGTATACTGTGGAACCAAAACCCTGAGTAACAGCTGCCTGCCCTAGAAGCAGAACCAATTCTCACAAGACAAATCAACAGACTTTTCCTGATCCCTCCAGCCCAAACCTGGCAACATGTTGGCTGTTCACAGCCTCTGGCTTTTTCAGGTTTGGTCAGGCTCAGAGAACCTGGCTTCTACATGCTTTTCATTCCCAAGCAAGTTTGTTTTCCTTGATGACAGTTACCAAGTCAACCCCCCAGAGTAAAAGTCTTACTTACATCACTGATGTAAAGTGCATTCTGGCGGGCTCGGATAAAATCTGGATGATCAGGAGGCAGGGTGTACCTGTGCCTGGCTTCGGAGTCTCCAGCCTTGTACAGTCTCTGTGGAGTCAAAAGTCATTGACTGCAACTGATACTGGAAGCAACATTGAGACAATTTTTTCTGCATTATAGTACAACAAAAGTTAAATCACTGAGAGTAAAATGAAACCTACGTCACTGCACTGGAGGTAGCTGGTTTTAGCATGAATCAAATCTGGAGAGTCAACCACAGCAGTGAACTTCAAACTTTCTGGTTTTTGACGGTACTTCACCTGAGTGGGGCAGGAGGCAACAAAAACAAACAAAGGAAAAAAAAACAAAGGATGTTTCTGTTAGTGATAAGTCACAATTCCAATTGTGTGATAACTAGGAGTAAACATAAAAGCCACCTTCCTGAAGCCACAGTATTAGAAACATACTGTTCTGCTTAAGTCTCAGTTGCTCTTTCAGCTAAGGAATGGGGATGCCACTGTATTATTGCTGTGGTGCCCAGACACCAAACTTCTTTGTGCGTGTGCCAGAAGGACTTCCCACTGTAAAGTCACATGCAAAAAGCTTTCAAACACTACACTCTACACTTCTGACAGCTCATAATTTTTCTCCATTAATGCATGAGCAGGCAAATGCCCCTTCAGTGTGGTTGTCAATGCTGTATCTTTCTATATCACTTCCTTAACCACCTGCTTAGAATTTCATAATGGAGTTTACTGCATTTATTTGTTGCTACATGTTTTGTTTATATTCTTGCGTTTCATTCGGCATGGAAAATATTCAGCAGGTGTCAGACAGTGGACTTGCATCTCCCATACTGCTTCTTGGTAACTTACACCTTGTATAAACAGGCTCCCACATCAAAAGGAAATGATAAGCTACATTCGTAAGTGTCATGTAACGAGGAGCCTTGATGGTAAACAATTCCTACAGACATGCTATCCCATGAAAGATTTATCAGTTACCTCACTGATGAGCTCTCCAGCCTTCTTTACGCTTTCTATCTGCGGAGATCTCAGAGCCATCCAACCAACGCCTTTCATGAAGTTCAGGTCTGATTTATAGCGATGCTGTTAAAAATGAAAATCGTTAGCTATCAGTTTTATATCCACAGCTATTAAGGTTTTTTTTAAAAAGACTCACTGATTCATATTAACATTTTGAGGTTTTTCATTTGCCATGCACATATCACATCATAAAGCCAAACTGTTTGCATTTGTTCATTCCACCAGGAATTAAATAATGTATCATATGCAAGTTACAAGAGAAGGCCCCACGAGTGAATTAGTATGACTCAAAGCAGTAAGTAATAACCTGTTTGTACTGGGCGTAAAAGAACCCCTTTTGAAATAATTTTCTGAGGTGAGTTCAAGTCAGGAATACTAATTATTTTATCATCTGGTGTATGCTTCCTCATTAACCCCATTTCTAGGAGGACACATTACTCACACTAAAGGCTTGCTCTAACTCCCAGTCCAGTAAAGAAAACAAGGCAGACCCAATAAAAAGCAAAAGTCAGTAAAGTACCCTCAATCACAACAATTCTGACTTCTCTTTCAGGGTGACAGTGGCTCACTGCGTAACTTTAATCCAATCATCCAGTTTTTTAGTTTGTTTTTTTCCTCCTATATGCAAAAGAACGTAACAGCCGCTAGCTCAAGCATGTTGTACGTTACTCTACTAGACAGTGAGGGTATCAGACAAAATCACTTGCATCATTTCCCTGGATTCCTGCCCTGTGAGGTCTAAGGGCAAAGAGCCAAGCACTGAGGTTCTTACTTATCGCTTATCCTGTCCCTTTGCAGGCAAGCTCTCAAGTACATGCTGTTAGGGCCTAAGGACTAAGTCCCTTGAAATGGCACTTCCCTATCATGTGAGCCACCATCACACACCAGTGAATAGTAAAAAATCCTGCCTTCCTGGATCTAACTACATGTAGGCCATCCATTAGTATTACAGAAGAAGGCAGGAATGGGAGTTGGTAAGGCAAAGTTGGAAAGCTGTTTGTAACAGCTCCCATAGCATCCCGAGAATATCCAAAAAACGTTCTGGCAATGAATACCAGACAGCAAGTACACTGAGTAAGAAAGGATACAAGTTCTCTGAAGCTTTGATTGTCATTCTGACTTTCACAGCTCGAATATCTGCTCATCAGATCTGAGTCCAAGAAATATCACACAACAAAATCCTGAGCTCAATAAATGATTAGCTGTCTAAAAGCCTCTAAAGAGTCAGCATAACTTTCTGAAGAACCTTTTCCACTTCCCTGCTGAAAAAACTAAAACCACCCAAACAGAGGTGCTAATGATGGAGCAGCTAATGACGCTGGATCCTAAACTGTCAAAATACAGTTACCTGCATCTGTGCAGCTTTATGCACGTGCTCAGCAGCTACGTCTGCTTCAAAACACATACAGACAACGGCTTGTCCCTTAACACAGGTACGTGCTAAGGCAAAGTGAGCATGGACGTGGCCCATGCTGAGATCCCACCATTTCTGTCTGAACTTAGATTTGCATGAGCAGTTTCTGCAAACACATTTGGGGAACTGGTTATTTGATATGACCATTTCTTTTTACGAAATGACCTTCCAACATATCCCAAATCAACCTCTGATATAACCTTCTGCTCAAACAATTCTGCCTGTAGAGCAGTGGCCGTCCAAAGCACTGGCTGGCTGTGAGCCAAACAGTTGAGAGATGATAATGTATATCCTTCAGCTCTAGAATAAGTATCATGGACCAGTGATTTCCCATCGGGTTCATAACAAAGAACCTCTGAATCACATATATTCCATATGTGAGCAGCAATCACATACCTTGCTGCTATACATAGATACGTTTACAAACGGTTTTTGTAAAAACTGTGCCCAGTGTCAATATACAATTTGTGCCAGCCACACAAAGCTTTGTTAGTATTAAATTCAACTTGCTGTTAATGGGAGGGAAGTCTTTACCTCACTCTGCAACATGTGAGCTCTTTTGGCCCACTTCAGCTTCATGTCTTCCGGGAGTGCTGTGAATTCATGGAGTCTCTTTCTGTAATCTTGATCACTCGCTAAGGCCTGGGCTTTCCTGGCATGGACGAGATCCACCATGTCCATGGGCAGATGGTATTGAGACCAGACTTTCTGAGATCCCTTCTTATACTCTTGTTCACTCTGTAATTTGGCAGCATGCAAGCAATGCAGCAGCCTGGTGTCATCCAGAACACTTCTAGCACCAATGTGCTTTCCTCTCTCCATCACAAAGTTGTGTTTATATTGGTACTAAAAATAAAAAAAGGTAAAAGTGAAAAAGTGACAAACATAGACTGGCTACTCTTGCTAACTAACTTATCCTAAGTCACTGAAACCTCTGTGCTGTCTGTGAAAACAGCCAAGGTATGCAGCACTAGAAAGTAATTGTCTGAATCTCTCGCTGCTCTCAAATTTAAATACCACAGTAGTTGAAACGTTAACTTAAATGCATCTCAATATATTCTCTGAATATGCCCAAAGCATTGATCATGTTTAACCTCAGATCAGGTACTTTTATTATCTCACAGAATTTTATTCCCATCGCTAGGAAGGAGAACATGAGAGAAACAAACAAAAGACAAGAAAAAAATCTATACAAATGAGAAATATCATGCACCCTGTAGCCTTCAGATTTGCAAATGCCACCCAGCTATTTTAAAGAGTAAATTCAGTTTTCCTGGATCAATAACTATGTTGAGAAGCCTAAGATGGTAGTCTGAGTACAAGAATAAGCACCAGCAACCCCTCATTCTCATCTTGGCTGGGACTATGACTCTTCCTATGATCTTGCATTTATCCTCTCTGTGAAATAGTGATGATGATGATAATGATTATTTATACAGCATCAACAGGGTGCTTGGAACTTTAAAGGGAAGGCCTGGGCCCTGAAGAGTTCATAATGTAGTTGAAATGGGATAATAACACTTATCTACTACACAAGAGAGTTGTGGGGATTAAATTACAGTAGCTAATGTTTATAAAGTGCTTCCAAGATGAAGGGCCAAATTCAGATCTGTTGTAAGTGGATATAATTCTATTATGGACTTGTACCCTTTAGAGCAGATCTGAAGCTGTAACCAAAAGCACTCTGCAAAATATGGTTAAGTATACATTATAAATTACAGCTAGAAATAGTTGCTTCATAAAACAAATACACACGAAACATATTAATATTTTTTCACATTAGAGATAAAATATGCAACTAAATACTACACAAAATGAAGACTTCTTTTACTAAATTTAGCTTAATTGTCAGCTTTTCTTAGAATTTTTAAATTTCTTGTGAGGAAGCCATGACCTCAGGCTTCCTGAGAAATGGATACCACCATGTCTGTGTGTTTTGCAAACAACAATCAAATGAGAGGATATTGTTAAGGCTAATAAGACTTGTTTCCTCTGTATCAGAAATTAAGAGGACAAATATTTACAGAAGCATCCACTGATTTTCAGTTCCTAACCAGACAGGCACCTCCTGACTTTTAGAGATTCAAAAAATGCTCAGCTGCTTCTGACTTAAATTCAATTCAGGAGCATTAAGCACTTCCAAAAGTCAGCTCAAAACAGGGTGCACAGAACTAGTGGGCACTTTATAATATGAGGGGCTGAAAGCCTGGAAAGGAGCAGAATCCCTCTGATTTGTCTGTCTGCAAATACTTTAATTCACTAGCTATTTCCCACTGGAAGATGTTTAACCAAGCTCGGTTCCCGATTAGTAGTGATTCTTCCTCTTCTTTTTTTTTTTGTAATTCACACAAAGAATCTCATTCATAAGTAATATATTCTGTCTCACACTTGTCTCACATGGTTATGGAGTTCCTTTAATTCAGTAAAATCTGCTTTAGACATTGTTTTACATGAAGTTAACAGAAATTAGGCAAGAAGGAAGGTTGAATCATTCAACTCACATCACTGGCAATTTCTCTGGAGGCCCTGGCAGTCTGGAATGGGAGTGCTTCCGTTGTCAGCTTGTAGCCTTGAGCACGTAGATTATGCCAAGATTCTCTGTATTTTGCCTAAAGTAGGAAAGGCACATGTAGATTGCTGTTTCACTTTTAAATGCACAAAGGAACAAACAGAGGAACCCTCTTTCATTTGTTATTCTGCGTTACAGTCTCATTCTTCATAATCAAAGGATTTTTTTAAATGATCTTTGGGAAATCCTACTAAATCAGAAAAAACATGTCTCGTTCTTTATGCAGATTTAATTTACAACCGTATATATGTTGATGGAGATAAATATCATTATAATCAAATCAGGAAAAGCATAAATAGAATAGACCTAAGAAGTCCTCTACTTATCCATCTTCCTCACCACTGCACGATACATCCTCCAACCCAAATGAGTGTAAGAAATACAGCACAAATTCTTACATTACTGAGGATGGCTGCATTTATTCTTGCCCTTGTAAACTCAGGCAGACCCAGTGTTGGTGTATAGTGATGCTGACTGTCCTCTCCCGCTGCTTTATACAAGCGCTAAGAAAGAGATCAAAAAGACAATTGCAATCAATTTTCTCTATTCTTTCAGTAATATAACATCAGACCTTAAGTTTTTTATGATTATGACCAGTATAGTTAGCACAAAAACCAGCTAAGAATACACCACTGCAATTGCAATTACATGGGATGTTTTTTCTGGGCGTATAAAATTTTTACATTAATTTTTATACCTACATGATGATGCCAACCCACTACATTCTTAACCTTGCATTGATACGTTCCCCAGAAGTGGACATAAGAACACTAAGGGCACCATGAATGAATGTTAAATAAAAGGCCGGGCATTTCTGGTAGACTGGCCATATCTTCTAGCTTGGATTTTTTCTCATGTTATTACAGATGATTTTGATAAGTTGCCTATGGGTTTTGTCTTCGTTTTCAAAAAGTTAGAAAAAGTGATTCTTTTTTTAGGAGCCCTCTAAAGTAGACCATACTATGCAAATGAGCTTCCTCAAGAACACCCCGCAGACCTGATCTTTTGAGGCTCTGTTTCATGTAAAAAACACTGATAACAGGATAGTATCATACAGACACTATTTAAGCTTTTTTTTTAAAAGATCGAATTGAAAATGGTATTAAATGTTTGGAAATAATAAGATGTCATCTAACAGTGAAAAAAGCACGTCAGTGACGCTTTCTTTCTTTTTGATGCATTTTGCTTTCAGAACAGGGTTGTCTCTTTCCCACTCTTCTATCCCTAGCTCGCTGAATTTTGAAAAGCCTATTTTCTGATTCCCGTTAGGAGAGCCTACCTCATTAGCAATCATATTGCTGAATTTTGCATGAAGGAGGCCAGGAGAGTCTGTCACCGATGTGTACTTGAAGGAATGTGGCTGCTGACGATATTTACTCTGAGTTCACACACAAAGAAAAATGAACAGAATAACTAAATTGTCTTGTCAGAGAAGGGACTCTTTCCAATACCAGTGGTCTAGTATTGCTTCTTGTGCTTAAAACTCCACTTTGCAAAGGGCATGCGTCTATTAACCATTAGACTAATTTACCTTTTGCTACTCTGAGTCTGATGCATTCAACTATCACACGGGAAATGAAAAGTGTATGAGGAATAAAGTGTTAAAAAAAAGGAGCAGTGCTGAGGAGAGTGTAACGTATGAGGCACCCTGCACTTAAGTCTAATTTTGGAAAAACAGTACAAGGTTCTTATTAGAGATAGGCACAGCCTTAATATTTAGTTTAAAAGACCATTTTAAATCTAAAATAAATAACAGAAAACAACCTCCTGGGTCTGAAACATCGGAGAAAATATTCACAAAAACATTTGCAAAGTCTGCAAAACCTTGAACTCCATCAGGTTCACCCATCTGCAGTAAGGACACGAATGGAATGATCAAACGCAAGGGGAGGGAGCCTAGCATTATCCAGTGAGTCACTTTGCCAGCCCAGTTTAATAGAAAGACATCTGGCAAACTCTTGTTTGTAGTGGAGATATCAAAACCCTCTTTTGTTACCTCGCTGATGAGTTCAGAAGCTTTCTTCTTTCCTTCAATCTCCAGGGCCCCTGGAGTAATACATCCAACTCCTCGCATGAAGTTCATGTCAGACCGGTATAAATTCTAAGGAGAACCAAGCAGAAGTAATTACAAGTTTGCGTCTGAGATGCCTTATATTTATTCATCCAAAACTACACAATAACGGCATTAAAATAAACACATTTGGAATTAGTATCTACCACAGAGAGTTCATATACATCACCCTACATTCTTGTGTTTATGTACGTGTCCGTGTGCACACAGCCCTGACAGATCTACAGGACAGATGCAAGATTCTGAGGAGCAGTAAGGCTCATACACACCAATTGATACTTAGGCTACTAACTTCTTGTAACCTTGAAAAAAAACTTCCTAGATATATGAATTCCATTCATATATAGTATCTAAGTCATAGTTATATATTATTTATATTTATATATATGACCAGATCAGAAAAGCATGTAAAAATATTTTTAAATAAAAGCTGGTAACATTTTAATAAGTAGAATTGCAGACAAAAACCCCTTTATTTAAACAGTTCTGAATGGTCATAAGTAGAGAACACTAAGGAAAAATAGTACTGAGATACTGTACAGATTTTGTTTAAATGTTTTCTAGACCAACAAACCCAGCAGTGACTCACTGTAAATATTACTTTCTTCAAAATTTACCAGTAGGTTACAGATAGATACATTCCAACAAATATTATTTCATTTCATGATGAGAATAGTGAGGAGGATATTTTCTGCTTCAAAAGAATTATGAGGACCAAACAACTAGTAAAGGACAAATATGTCCACTCAATGGACATGTGGACACTGCTACTGCTTACTGAGAGAAGAACTACCTCTAGGTAATGAGGCGTTTGGTTTCAGCCAGCCACTTATAATGGAAACAGACTATGCTTTCACTTTATTCAGCCACCTAGGAGGACAGAATCAGCTGCTCTTCATGTCTGTCCATGGCTAATCTCTGCCTCAAAGGCATCACGGAGTTGTGTACAGGAAATATCCTTTGTGATTCGGAAGAACAATGGTCGAGCTTGGTCCTTGCCAGCTATTAGCACCAGCTGGTAAGAGAGTTAAATGCTGAGCTCTGAGACATGTTGCTGGCAAGCAGCATTTCACTCCCAATCAAGGAGAGACGTGGATGCAAACCTGCCTCAGAATCTCGGATTGCATGTGTTTTCACCTGAGTTAGGGCAGCAGAACTGGCACTGATGTTTACACTTGTTTGAACACAGTCTGCCATCTTTAACACTGTTGGCTGAAAGTGTTAAACTGATAGAGAGTAGCATTTTGGGGCCAGATTTACTTTTAACATACAGCCCCTCCTGAGGTCTCCAGAGGCCATGTAATCTATTAAAAGCCCTTTGCTCAAGGCTGTGCCTACAGACATAGCCTACTCTTGAATTTGTAAGGCATTATCCAGTTAATTTTACTCAAGATTACGGAAAGAGCTAAACTCATCCTTCTTAGAATTTCAGTGCTAATGTCTTGGGACAGAGTTTATACATCAAATCAGATTTTTAACAATAGACATCTTTTTTGTGGAAGTACAGATGATTTTCACCAAGATGCAAACCAACTCAAATACCAGTTGGTAAACAGTTGGCATGGTTAGCAAGATCTTAAAAGAGTATTTCACCAACACTGCAACATCCTCACTTGCAAACCCTTCCCTGCCCTATCATCAAAGACTACTATACTTTATCTATCAGTGTGGTGTGATCACACACATTGTACAACTGCCCAATAAGATAAATGTCTCATTCCTGAATGTAATCAAGGGGGAACAGCCATTGTTTATCCCTCAGCTGCTGCTCAAATACGTACTGTCAGCTGTCATGCTTTGGAACAGAACTATCTTGCATCAGAACCAACAGGGAAATATCACTGGGATGTTTTGCAATTACCTCACTCTGTAATTTGTATGCATTCTTGGCACACCGCAATCTCACATCATCAGTCAAAGAAGTGTACTGGTGTAGCAGCTGTCTGTATTCTTGATCACTGACCAAGGACTGGGCTTTCCTGGCATGGACCAAGTTTATCATATCCAGTGGCAGGTGGAAGTGAGTCTTTGTATCCTCAAAACCTTGCTTATATTTCACCTATCAAATTAAAAACAGATCACAGATATCACAATATGGCAATTAGAATTCAGGTTTTGATCAGAAGAGACACTCCTCATATTTCTTCCATTGTACAGTATAAATTATTCTTTTTAAAACTAAGTTCCCTAACTTGTTTAACTATACTGTGAATGATCAATACTTATAATAATATGTGGCAGCCTATTCTTCATCAAAATAGTAGCCATCTACATTATATTCTATTAAGATGAATTTTTCTTTTTTTTTTTTTTAAACTGGACACATTGAACCTGTAAAATTACCAAACGGATAAATGAATTCCTAATTTACTGCATTTCTAGAAAGCACAACAAAAAGTTGAAGCTACTGTCTGAAGATAAAATGCAAACAGCCATATTTACATTAGAATTAGTACAAATCCTCAATCAGAATATTGTTGGTCTCTATAGATTTGGCCAGTTTCATTTCACTGTTTTAAATGTTATTTTCGGTGCTCAGGTTGTTTTCACTTGTCTCCATCCACGCAACGAAAGGTGTAGTAATCTTCAAAGAACTTTTTTTACATGACATTTCCCTGTCAGATTATACAAATCTGAGATGTTCAGGCTGTTCATCCAGATAATGAACATCCAGAGTTATTGATGATCACCAAACTGACTTAGAATAACCTGATGGATGGATTAATAGTTCTTCAGACAGTGACTGTTACCTGTATCGCTCTACGTGTACCATCACACAAGAAAGAATCCCAGTACAAGCCCAACACTCACTGAAATCCATGAACACTCTCCCATCTCTATCCACAATCAGGCTTGTTATGGACAGTTTTGGTAAAAAGATAAATAGTTCTTATATTATTTATGTACTTAAAGTCAGGCAAATATTTCACTGCTTTCTGGATCACACCACGGTGTTCAAAATGCACTGAATAGTTACAATTGTTAGGCCAGGCAACTGTGGTACACAGAGGGGCACTGTGCAAGAATGCAGAGTCGTCTTTCATTGTCAAGATGATGTTATTGTAAATAATGTACAAGAATGGTAAGAATATCATGATTATATCAAAATATTTGGAAAGTGAGTGGCAAAGCCTTAAGTGTTAAATAGCATGACGTTCCACTGCTAAGTGCATCTTCCGTGAGGAACTGTTCACTGTTAGAAAACCAGTTCCAAAATGCCCACATCTTCTTCCTTGTACTTACATCACTCTGCAGCGCTGCTGCACGGACTGAATGAGCAATATGAATATCACCATCCAGGCCACGTGAGCCAACCATCTGTCCTTTCATTTTTTGAAATGCCTCCTTATACTTGTGCTAAAAATGAAGTAAGAATAGAAATGTGAATAGGAGTGAAGTATTAGTCAGATAATTGTTAAAACCTGAATAAAAGGACTTTCATATTACAGAAAAAGAGCTATGGACAATAAATTCTGGCTATACTCAATATGATAATAAATCTGAATGAACCTTCAGTGGATGCTAGGAAGACTTCACCTGTGCAAACATTTTCCTATTTTATCCTATTTAGAGAAAAGCACAAAAAATACACCAGTGAACACTTACAAATAGCTTGGATCAGTTACCTGCTATTACACAGATGGTGGAAGACAATAACCCGGTGCAGGTGCTCAGAATCAAGCTCTGAGGACCTGCTCTCCACCAGCTCTCCAGTAAAGTCAGAACAACTGGTCTCCTATGCTTGAAATTAATCTGTGTATCTCCACAAACTTTAGTGGACACCAGGACAAACCCTGGAGGGTAGAACTTCCTGAATAAGCTCTCTCTTCCAAAGCTCGCCTAGCTAACAGTGGCCGACAGCTCCTGAGCAATCCCTGTGATTTTACAGCCACTACAGCAGGTAAGTTGATCAACTTTGCCAACGACGTTTTGCTTTCACAAACCTTCCTTTGCTTAGTTACCAATAACACTTCACTGTGGCTGCACCTCCAAAAGCACCATTAACTAGACCAAGGTGATGTGTCCCAGATGTGGAGGTGGCTGGACATGCTGTTTCCATCAAGAGTCAGTCAAGAGAGCAGAAACAGTCTGGAGTGCCTGACATAACCTACTGGACAATATCAGCAGTAAGTTCACGTACATCACTTATGATTTCACCCGAAGCCTTGGCTGCCCGGAAAGGAATGGCATCTAGTTTCAGCTGATAGCCACCATCTTTCGTCTTTCCCCAGGACTCCTTATAGCGAATCTAGGAAATAGGGAGCAGGAATAAAGCTGAGTTACTGTTCAGAGGGTTGACACTGCAGCATTACTGCTATCCCAACAACGTTAGCACACCAGTTTCATTCTATTCTAATGTAGAGGGCTAACATAAATGAAATGATCAATACACAACAGGAGTAATCATGTGACAAATATTAATTATAAAAATTTATTTGTTTGTTCATTCTTAATCTTGCTAAGTTTGCTAAGAAGCAGGATTTCTCCTGTTACTTCAGAAACAGACCACAAAATGATTATATACAAGGGAAAGAAATTTAATATCATTCCCTGTGTAGGACAAATAGCAAAGCACTATCAACATTTTCACTTTCCTTTAAAATATTAATGGTGAGATATATACCTCACTGATATTCATAGCATTTAATTTGGCCTGCAGGATTTCAGGAAGATCCGTTGTTGGCGTATACTGATGCTTTACACTCTCTCCATGCTCCTTGTACAGCCTCTGCAAACAGAGATGAATTTCAGTAGCAAGTACTCACTACACATTCAATCACTGGTTCAGACAAAACCATGAACAAATAGGTTTATAGAAAGCAAAGACTACAGAAAAGTGACAGCAGCATTAATAAATGCAGGCAGTTGTATCAGTCAGAAAGTATTCCAAAAAGCTTTGGGAGTGTGATACACCTATCAGCTAGAGCATGCTAGAGAGGAACTCCTTGAAGTTTTGAGTATATAAATCAACGTATATGAAAATTCAGATATCTGAATATTAATTTGATAATACTTCCAAGATATTTTAAGAGGGAGAGGGAGAATAAACAGCATTTATTGCAAATGTGTAGCCAGGAGTGGGCCACCAATACCTTGAAATTCCACAGAGATCTGGGGAGTTGATGTTCCCAAACACATCCCTCGGAAGTTGTTCATTTTTAGCAGATAAATATGATGGTAATTATCTGTGCAATTACTCCAAATTTGTTTCCAGAGTTAGTTGCAAGGGCGTGCTCAATAGTCAATGGCAAGAGATTAAAAACACCTCAGAAGGTGACTGACCGTCGTGGTGTCTACGTGGACTAGTCAATAGGGCTGGCCCAGGACGAGCCAAATTTTGGATGTCTGCAGACAGGGAAGAGTAGTTCTGTGCAGTTAACCAGAACTTCCCCTACAATGGCTATACAGAGTTCACCTCTTTCACATTATTTCTCTCTCCTAGCTTAGTGTCTCCTTACACTGACACCATAGTTTTCAGATGACTACTGATAGCCACCGTTTTTTTTTGCCCTTCGATATGACCCATGTCTTGACCACCTGACTTGCCATTCCCAGGCTATTTCTGTGTGAGGGTTTCAGACACTGTAGAGTAAACCAAACCTCTCCATTTCACCCTGCTGCCACTTTCTTCAGCAAGTAGGCCTACTTGTACTGCAGCTCCATAAGAGGAAAATTAATGAGAACTCCATGTGTGAAGAACTAGAGCAGCAGACTGATTCTGACTGTGGCTCAGCGGAACAAAATGACTTATATTTATCCTGCCTGAGATGTAAGCCTTTTGGATCTTATTAATTAAACCAAAGGCATAGACACTATAAGTATTACAATAGCATGTGTTTTACACAAAGTCTTTCATCTTCTTCTTCACTTTAAAAATATCTATTTTCACAATAAAACAACCTCTCATGTTTGAAACTTGTCTTTTTTGAGTGACTTTGGCTTATTATTCACTTCTGTATTATCCCAGTTAAGTCTACAATATTTTTAAATCGCTCTTCTATTAAAAATAAACATGTTTAAACACCAAACAGCCTCAATTCTTCCCTTTAAGGTTTCCCCTCCTGGATTTCTCTCTCAGCAGGATGACAGCTTGAAATAGTTTATTTTTTCTTCCTTGTCATGACGTTTTACATTTTGTTTCCACAGAATATGCAGAAACTGAAATTTGATAGACCTGTTTGAAAAGGGGAAAGAACCCAAACGTGTTCTTCCTCAATGAACCTCAAAAGGCCAAAAGTCTTTAGAGCTCAAAGGTCAGTCTTATGCCTAAATTTGATTTTTGAAAAACAAAAAAATTAGGCAGAAAGCCCTTTTTACATGAAACTCCCATTCACTTCAGTGGGGTCTCTAAGACTTCCCATTCCAAGTTAGAAACATGCTCTTTGTGAGATGCACCACAGTAGAATGCAGAAGTTTCATGGTTCCCAAGGATAATCTCAGAGAATGAGAGAGAAAGCCAGTGCTTCAATCAGGTCGTTCAAAGAGGATACCACTCTTATAATCATAATGTATATACATTATAACTTACATCCACAGCCTGGTTATAACTAATTCTAGCCTGGATCATCTCAGGAGTGTCTTTAATACTGGTAAACTTCAAAGCATATGGATGCTGACGGTACTTCTTCTGTTGAGCAGAAAAAGATCAAAGCTGTGAATTTTGTGCTGCTCTTTCATGCTATTTGAAAGAGAAAAATCATAGGTTGCTGGAGATTAGAGTGAATTTGTGAACATAATTATTATTCCTCTTTCCTCATCTTTATGTCCTAGGTACTTTCAGATTAATATTTGTTTCAATTTAACAATAACCTCTTGCCGATTAATATTAAAGTATTTCTCCCTAAATATAAGGAAAACATTTCAAAATCAGATACTGCCTATCTAAATACTACAGGACTCAGGATTTCAGATTACTTCAAATAGAGTAAGACCGATTATATTTTTTATTTATAGTTTCTTTAAGCAAGAAATGATATACAATTGTAGTGTGTTAATAACGGGAACCTTTAAACTTATTGTTTCAGGGTTTAGATTTCCTCCTAACACCTAGAGCAAATCTGTGCAGTCATTAACACTGTGCCTAATTGTTATGGTGTATCTTCTAGATAATGATATTAATCCTGCTTACTCGAAAGGACTCATAGTAGCTTCTGAGATATCTTGTTATATGCACATAATTAAGATGAAGGCTGTGTGATGGCAAAATGACACTTTTTCCATATGGCCAGGTCACTAAAAGCTTCCCTTCCTGCATGAGTTGTCCTTTACCCACCAATACTCTTATCTCTGCTCCAAATAGTGCATCCTAAATTTTCCTGATGCCTGTGATGAACTCCCAAGTCAATAAGCATGTTCACGACTTCTAGTAATTTTTCATATCTCAGTGCTTGGGTTTAAAGGCATGTCATTCTCCTTCAAATTGAGTTGTGATCCACACAAGTTTATTGGAGGCCACATCTTGATTATCTGGGGACTCAAAACACCGATGCAAACCATGTCAACTCTTTTATGGTATCACAAGCTTATGAGCAATGTTTTGGTTTCAGAAAGAAATCCCTTAAAAATGAGAAATCTTACTGAGCTTAACTGGGTACGAAAGTGGTGTACGCTTTGTCCTGATCAGCCGTAGAGAAAAATTAGGAGTTGACCACACCATGTCTACATAAAATTCCTAGAAATTATATTCTGGCAATTGCTTTTTAGCAGTATTACAGGGCTAGTCATTGTGTGCATTTAAGAATGGAGGATGCTTGTAGCCACCTGAAGTTATTTACTACTCACAATAAGGTTGAGATGAACAACCTAGTAGGTCAAATTTCTACTGGGCAGCTTTCACTACTGTAAAATAAAAATGGAATCCCTATACAGCTTCACAGTTACTATTCCAGCCATCATTGCTGTCCTAGCTCTTATGAAGCTCCTTGCTTTACGCTAGCTGAGGATCTAGTTTATGGTATCTTAAAAAAATCATCCTTCTTCACTGTAGATGATTACATGGGAAAAAATAGTTCTAGCAATAACGCACATGTGATGAGCATATTTTTCTAGACACACTACACCAGTGTTTGAGCTGTTATTCTCACTGAGTGAATGGACAGATGATTCCTGCATCACCAGTGGTTATCTAAAAAAAAAAATATCACAGTATTCAGCCTCCTGCTGCAGCAGATTTGGCCAGTAGAACTCCCTCCAAAATACTATGAATCTTTTCACCATTTCCACCAGACCCTCCTTAGAAGGCTTCATTGGACTGGCACAAAGGATTCTAGAGTTTGCCTTCCGTAAGTGATATTGGTTATAGGGAGAAATAAGGATGGAAACTACTTGGGCTGATAGATAGCTACAGAGATATCTATATGAATTTCAATAGCTAACATGAATATCTATGAAAAAGGAGCAAGGAGGAATGTGTATGTGTAACAAAAGAAGGTTCTGGGTCCAGTGACTGCATCTTTTCATCATCTCTCCTGTTTCGCTTCATTAAAAAGGTAGGCTAGTGGGTAGCAATTGAGCACTGTTTGATTGCCATTATTATTCATAATATCATTTGTCACCTACTTTGTTTTTGCAAAGGCTATATGGACTCCTACTGGTGCGTGTTTGGTATCTGGTTTCCCTCTAATTACCAGTCCTATCCCTGGTTTTGAGGGCTTTCATGTAGTATGCCTTTTTCTTTCCCCTTTGAGTGGAAATTATTTTAATTTTATACAGACATTTTGCACGCATTATGCAGCAAATTCTGTTACATGCTGTCATGAAATCTCACCTCACTAATGAGTTCTCCTGCCTTCTTAGCCTGCTCCATGTTTAATGACCCAGTGGCTATCCATCCAGCTCCTTTCATCCAGTTCAAATCTGCCCTGTATCGGTTCTGACAAAGAAAAAAAAAAGTCCTATTGTTGGTGTTCCTATACTTAAAATGCCATTAAAGGATTCAGACATCTCAGGAACAATAACCAAGTCAAATTGGTGCCTGCTTTTGTTTTGTTCACTATTGCACAGTTGCAAGAAAAACAAAAAATTACAGAATGAAACAGAAGTACCAGGACTCGCCAGTACTTATGCAATGTGCTTTGCAAGATAATTTTTAGAAGTGGTCTGCACCCAACTGTCATTTGCAAATTTTACTTTAAGGTGGCGAAAACTTGAGTTTTATTGTGCATAGTGTACTGTTTAAAAGATCATTAACAATTTGCACTGATCACAAAATTATACTTAGCATTTCCCAACCCTTGTCCTTTTGTTATACTGGAGGGAAAGCATTTTGCTTTGGTTTTTCTATGTGTCTTTAAGGAGGAAGAGTACAGGAGTACTTCTCACTTTCCACACAAAATCTCTCCTACCAACAAACTACTGAATTCCAAAAGCTTACACAAGCACTACAGCTGGGTTTCTCAAAGAAGCCAGGAGGGTTTCAGCACCTATACTTAAACAAGACCTGATCTTAGTTTCCTTGAAAAGTTCTGACTTAAAACCTCAGAATGGAAAGTCTGACTTAGAGTAACCATGTACAATATCAGAGACTTCATCTGATGGTTTCAGCGGAGCATGTGGTCTCCATATGGAATTTTATCACCAATTTTATCACTATAAATTATTTAACGTCACTGCACATTAGGTAAAAAAATAATTGTACATCATATATGTAGTGTTTTATTAACATTTGAAGTAGGCTTTGAAGAAGCTATGCTCATAAACAGAATTATAACTCCCCTCAAAAACACTACGCACCTTAAATACATCTCTTGAGCAACAAAGTGGTTAATATTTACTGGTTTAATATTAACGGTTTAATAGTTGAAAAATTAGGTGCATGAGTCTGTCATGGCATTAAAAGCATAAACATCTGAAGAAACTCAGCCCTAAGTATCTGAAAGGGTTGAATGAAAGGGTGTTGAAATACATTAAGCTCTGGACTTACATCACTTTGCAATCCGTAGGCCCACTTGGCCCATGCCACCTTCATGTCAGTAGGCAGAGCTGTGTAGCGATGGAGAGCTGTCTTGTATCCTGTATTTGTGGCCAAATTTTGAGCCTTCTTGGCATGGACGAGGTTAATCATATCCATGGAGACGTGGAACTTATTCTTTGTGTCCTCAAATGCCTTCTTGTACTCCAGATCACTCTGCAACTTTGACATCTGAAGGGAATGAGCCATCTGCGAATCTTCCTCCACAGCTTTTACTCCAATCAGCTTACCCTTCATCCTCTCATAACCTTCCTTATATTTAATCTATGAAGAAAAAAACCAGATCATGAGTAAATGATCTCAGCTGCCAAACTGACAGCTCTACTAGTAGTAAAACAAAGGTCTATCCGTGTTGTGATGTGCTTGGTCCTTGACACAAGCAAGAAAGAAGTCCATTTGCTAAGAGAACAAGGATGCCTTAGAAATGAGTGTTTATAAAGAATAAATCCTTTCTCAATAATAGCATGTTCACAAATAGCTGTAAGAAATTTTTTTCTCTTTTGGTTCTTTCTAGGAAAAACAAAATTTTTTAAGCACTGAGGTCAGAAGGTTCTTCGAGGATTTTTCTGGCAAGGCATAGATGTATTAAGTTACAATGTTTCACTGAAAATTTCCACTTCATTTTGAGTTCTAAAATTCACCCTCGAGTCAAAATGAGAATAGGAAAACACAGTCAGCATGTGGGGAAAAACTCTGAATTGCTCAGAGCAAAGCTTCTGACTAATTATGGAATGCCAATCACCCAGACAACCCCTCGATTGCTCCTTAGGAGAATCAAGTGAGGGTGGTTCAGGGCACTGAGACATACGTGACACATCTCCAACTTTCTGGTAGCAACCTGGACTGTCAGCTGTTCTAAGAATAAAGAAGGCTGATGGAGTCCATACTCACATCACTTGCCAGATCCCTCTTTGCCTTAGCTGTCAAGAATGACAAAGCATCCAGACGAAGCACAAATCCTTTTTCCTTCTGCTTCTCCCAGCTACTCTTGTAGAGTTTCTAAAGAGATGACAATAACACAGTCTCTTTATTACTATCAATATATTCTATTTGTTTTATAGCCACAGTGAAAGCTCTCAAGTAACATCAGAGCAGAGTACACTCCATGCCCAGCAACCATATGTCTAAAGATTCAGATCCTGGTGTCTTTGTTTTACGTACTGTAACTGGCTACTGTGGACACTGTAACCCCATTATCTCACTGGTTCCAGAGACACTGTCAATGTGCCACTCATCTGGAAGCATATGGAAAACACACAGCTCCAAACTCAAAAAGCGACAAGTCTTCTGAACAGCAGATGTGACTAATTTAATTAAGAGCAAGTAATTAAATTGAGATATAAAGTTTTTACATCTAAAAAATGTGGACGTTCTCAGAGAAAGAACCTAACTTTCACCTACAGAACAAGCATTTCAACAGCAGCTGTAACTATGCACAGGAGTGAGGGAATCCAACCTCTCTCTTACACAGTACCTCACTAATATTGGCAGCATTTGTTTTGGCCAGTATGAAGACAGGATCATCTTTGCTGATGGTGTACTGATGGAGAAACTCCTCTTTTCCTGACCTGTAGGCAACCTGTCCACAGAAAGCAAAGCATAGTTAACAAGCAGTACCCCATGTTTAATCTGATTAAAAATCCCCCAAACATTCAAGGATTTGTTTAGGGTTAATTTATTTGGTGTTAGTCTTTAGCATCATGACTGTTTTGCCAAATCTGAATTTAAAAGCTGACCCACGGAGTCACGCTGACCAATTACACACGGTTAAATTTCAGGGAAGCAGAAACAACATATTTATCAGGATACTTTAATTCTTTTTCTTGAAGTTAGCTACTTAACTGGCTAAAAGCTGACATTAATTCATACTGTGTAAGAAAAGTATGCAAGCATGTATTTCATCCAATATTAAACTGCAGCTACTTTTTAGGTGCAATGAAAGTCTTTAACACAGAAATAGTGAATTTTAGGCATGAAATAAAGAACACTAAGCAATTGAGTCTGCAGAGAAAATTTGTGACCTAAATGTAATTGCTGACATAATACTCCAGTGAGGACTAATATTCCAGCTTTAAATAAAAATATCAAGGACCTTTTATGATCTAAGATGGAAACATCTTCATTTCATATCCCAGGGCAACATCAACAGAGAAATGAACTACTCTGCTTCAGAAGCCTATACAGCTGTTGGAGTAGATGTTGAAAAGCTATGGGAAGATGTCCCATTTCACAAAGTGTTAGTTTTCTTACATCTCACTGAAAAGGTAAAAAAAGAAGTGTCCCTACTATAAAGCTCTAAATCCATGGTTACTATTCTGACTTCGATACACATATAGAAAGGCAGCATTGCCCAGTACACAGGAGATAAGTAACGAGAGTCAGACCAGCATTCTCCTCTGATTGAATCTGGCGTCATTTTTGAGACACATAACATTCAACCAAGTAAATGCCAGGTTTTTACTGAAGCAAAGGAGCAAAAAAAGGAAACATGGTAGCTGCCTGAAAAAGGCCAATCAAGAAGTAATAATGCTTCATTCACATAACAACTGAGAAGCTGACAGTATCTTCGGTTCAAGGCAAAACATATTAAACTTAATAATGAAAAAGAAAAAGGTTGGAAAATTCACTAATGTTCCAAAATTAGTTGGTCAGCAATTTTAACAACAGGTCCCCCTTCTTCTGGAAACTTAAAAATGAGTTGCTGTCAGCTAAGTTCTGCCAAGGAGTCCTGAAATTTCCCAGGGTTGCCCAGCCCCAAGGGAATAGGGAGCATTCTGAAGGCTCTAAGCTTGGGAAAATACAGCTATTTTATCATTTTACTGAAAGCACCTTAACAGCAACAGCTGAAGAATGTGTGGTCTAACAAGGCTAATACAGCTTTAAGTAGTCTGACGCAGCCCTCAGTGAAGAGAAACACAGACTCTGGGGTGGATGTTCCGACGGCTGTGCTAATGTCTACCTTGCTTGGAAGCACTGCCTGAGGACCAGCTGGGAATACTGTGTTTTGCCTCCAGCTTGCTTCCTCACTTTTATCACCTCCTGGATAACCAGCTTTCATGCAGATGACATTAATATCTCAGGAATACTCAGGTACCCCCTCATGACTGCATTTCAGTCATACTTGAATCCAGCCTGCACCACCCAGAAGTTTGTCGTGTAGAGGCATCCCTCACTTCTCTTTCTGGTCTTTAACATCATTTCTGAGAAGCCCCACTGGCCTATTTTCATTCTCACTGGGGTTTGATTTTTGCTGTTGTTCTAGTTCAGAGTATTCAACAAGGGAATTCATAAAATAAACTAATAAAACTCCTTAGAAATATATATCAAGAAATTTCATATGGTGAAAGGTTCCATGACTGGATCCTCTTCCACCCCCACCCCAGTGTACATATCACAGGAATGACCACATTAAGAGTAAGCTGCTTGCAAACAGACAAATTCAGTCAAGGACTCACATCACTTTGTAGTTCCTGGCTTTTCTTGGCATGCTTGATCTGAGAACTGTCAGCCACACTGGTGAACTTCAGAGCATCAGCCTTCTGTCTGTACTTTTTCTACATCAAATTAAAGCAGGTTACAGAAAAGTTCCTACAATATTTACCTTCCCTAAAAAATGTAGTGCTTTCAAAAAGTACATGATTGATAGAGCCAAAAGTCCCTTGTAAATTCCCAAGACAGTTTTAGCACAGATACCAACAAAAGAAGCTTCCAAATCCTACTCAGTGCTAGTATTTTCTGTTGGGAGTACCCCAGTGGCGAAGAGGGCAGTGCAAGAGTATGCCAAATACGTTATTGCTGAGGCTGCAAGCATGGCCACTCTTTGGTGCCAGACGTGCTAGCTACTTATCTTACAAGATCTAGGCTGCGTGCCAACCAATGAGTGTCCTTCACAAACTGGGTATGACTGAAGTCAGGACCCATGAGAGCTCAGGAGCTACACAGTCGATATTACTATCTCCTTTTCTTACATCAGCCTTCTCAAGAATTTGCACGCGTTGTTCTAATCATTGAACATACATTACTGAGATATTTTGAAATTATTAAGATATTTCTAAATTATCAATTAAATTAGAATTGGCAATTTCAGTTTCCTGAAAGTAACTCAAATTCAAAATCCTCCTCAACATCTCCCAGTTCTTTTCAAAGCAAAGCACAGCAAAGACACTGCAGTCAAGCCTTTTGGGGAGCAGCAAGGCCTCCACAAGGCTCGGATGTGGGGAAAAAACATCCCGCTCCATTCATCCTCTGATACCAGTAGTTAATAGAAAATCTATTTGAAGGGATAAACTTGCATAGAGGCTAACATTTCTAGTTTGGTAAATGAGACTGTCCTTACTTTCATCCCATCTTACTTTTTGTTTTACATCTGAAACACCAAAGTTAACAGAAAATTTCCATTGACTGCATCAGGCTTTGGATCAGGCCTGTTTTGCATCAATGTCTTTGCCTCAGCCTTTTGCATCACTCAATTTGAGAGCAAGCTAAGCATCTCTTTCTGTCTTTGAGACAGCACAAGGAAATGCAGCACCCTGTTTCAAGACCACAGTATGACAGGGGAGACTAAGCAAACACGTCTTGTATACTTTAGTCAAATTCTTATTCTAACAGTTCAACCATGAAGTGGGACATTCCACCTAGGAAGGGTGTAAATACATCTCTTCATTATCTGGCATTTCAGTAGAGAAATCCTTCTGTTTGAACTGATGAGTGAACAGATCAGTTTACACTGTGTCTTTGCTAGGGGAACACAAAAGTTAAAAAAGCATGCAGCACTTCAAAGGGGTGCTCATCGCTTTATTTTAAGAACCTGGAAGGAAGGGAATCAGATTAAAACCAGCATGTTTTGTCACATTGCATGGAACACAACGTAGTGACATTCTGCAGGGAAATGACAAAATGCCAGGCTCTGTATGGCAATAGAGATCTCTAAAATAATATCCACCAGTCTCCGGTTTAAGTGACTGCCAGCCATCTCTTGACCTTACACAGCACTGGAATGAAAAGGCAGATCATCATTGATTAAATATTTGTGGAAGTGATTATTACTACAGCACACTACAGAAGCAGATGTCAGTCTGTCTCTAGCAAGACACTGGATCTGAGAGTAGCTGTTCTTCTTTTGTTTCTAAGATTCCCCTTGCAGGAGCAGTGAGAGGATGTCAGAGACCCAAGGTATCAGAGAGTGTGATCTCTAGTAACTAACTGACTTCTGTTCCTTTCTCCAGAACTAAGTGGGATTTTACTCTTCTTGTCAAACTTCCCTAATTTATTCTTCTGTCTGTCTAGTTTTCCTAGCACTAGTGAGATGACTCAACTAAGCAGTTGGAGAAGTGTATTTCCATAAGGTTAATGGCAGTACAAAACCATGAATTAATAAAGGGAAAGCAATGAAGAGCAGTACAAGCTGAAGCTGCCAGCAAAGTCGCATCCCTTACTTGCCAAAGAGCAACGAAATTTCAAAACTTGGCGAGCAAATATCTGATTTTCCAGCACTGTTCCTTAAAACTCTATGCACATCATGTAGCATGTACCATTGGAATTTCTGATTCCTTTCGATGCTACTCTGTGAAATGGGCAGGTGAATGAAAAGAGAAGGAAGCACAATTATGGGGACTTCTGCTTCACAAACTTCACAGAAACCAATAATCATATAACAGTAACACATATTTTTAACTTCTAATCCAGGATATCCTAAATGGTATAATACCTAAACAATGTTCATCAGTTCCTCCATTTCTCAGATTTTCTGTATTAGGGATTCCTTACCTATTCCAGTGTGCACAAGCCTTTGAAAAACACAACAGACAGAAGCCTGAGCACTTTGCTTACCTCACTGACCAAATCTCCTGCCTTTTTGGCTTGTTGTATATTCAGACTTCCTTCTGTGATACACCCAGCTCCTTTCATCCACATCAGATCTGCCCTGTATCGAAGCTGTAGAGGGAAATGACATTTACTGGCATGAGGCACACAGGTATGATGTTTGCACGTGAAGATGTGTACCCTTTCCAGTTTCAAAGCCATTTTAAAACGTCGTAATGCAAATCAAACAGCATCCATATGAAACGAGAAATAATGTCAAACTGAAAAAAATCTATAAACACTCATACTGCTTGTAACAGTTAAGCTGAGTATGTATCATCTTACATCACTCTGGAGACCATAGGCCTTCTTTGCCCATTTGGTCTTCATATCTTCTGGAACCACTGTGTATTCATGGAGTCTCTTTCTATAGTCTAGGTCACTAGCAAGTGCCTGGGCCTTCTTAGCATGTCTCAGGTTTACCATATCCATAGGCAGATGGAAATGGGTCTTACTCTCCTCAAAACCTTTTTTGTAGGCAATCTAGAAATAGAAGAAATGAAAATAAGTTGCCTGTACCAGTGTATTGCAACAACAAAACTGTCTTAAATCTCCACTCTTGTTTGGGTCCTTAGGCAGATTAGGCAAGAAACACATATAGAAATCAGTTCCTACAAGGGATGAAGAAAGCAGATGGACGGATGAATTTTGCAGATGGACAGATGAATTTTCCAGGCTCTAGAGACATCTGTAATACAGTACATCTCTCTTTTAGACATACTTCTATCTACTTGCAAATTTTAAGTAGAAGTGTTTATATTGGGGTTTTAATAGGATGTTATTTTCCTTCCCTAAAATAAGGACACCATCAACCCCTACGACAACAAAAATATTGTGCATTCATTGAGGATTAACAGACTGAGGAAGGAAAATGAGTTTTGTTAAACACTTCCAAGAATTTCTTCTAGTGAAAGCAGTTAACAGTGGTAGATCACATATTGTTGCTGAACAACTGATAATTATGAAAAACAGCTTTTGAGTAAGAGAAATAAATAATTTACCTCACTACTCATCTTGGCCACCTGCAGAGAGTGCAAAAGTCTTGAATCTTTGGTTCCAATTGCTTTCCCTTTCGTTTTTTCATATTCTTCTTTATATTTAATCTGTGAAAAAAACAGTTTAAGTCAAAGAATATTTATGATTACCCAAGAGATAAGGAATATGTTTTTCACTGGTGATTTGGATGGTCAAAATTACAAGGGCTTAGTCTGATTTTCACTTTCTCACTTCAGATTTCTCAGGTTTTCTCAGAAATTCCCAAAGGTGACAGGTTGGTTTCACTTATGTTGTCTTTAAGCTCATTCTTTAAGGCTCACTCTTATGAGGTGCATATGCTTATGAAGTTAATTATCTCATTCTTAAAGCAAAAGAAATTAATTATGTAAAACCAAGCAAGGAATTAAAGATTTTGGTTTTTGGAGATGGGATTTCAGAATCACCATTACTGCTGAACACTTTCCAGCTGCAGGAAAAGTTCATTCCTTTTCTGCCTCTCCACAGGTTGAGAGGCAGAGATAAGTTGTTCAAAAAGAGTTTGTCTGCAAATTTTTTTATACACATCTGTTTATATTAAAGAAGCAGACTAAAGAAATACGCATTCTCTTCTCAGTGGATGACAGCAGCATTTTTGAGGCTATAAACAATTCAAAACACTGAATTTTACTATGGGAGGATTGAGACATTGTTATTTTGCAAATTTTGCATCCTTCTGTACACTTTTAGTTAAAAAAATAATTTTCAGAGAGAGTGAAATTTCATAGCAGAGTCTGAGAAAGTTTCCAACTGTTCATTAGCCATATAGAAAGATGAACAGCCAAATGCAGGACTTAAAAATCCAGATGAAGTGCGCTAAGATTTATTTCCCTGTGCTATAGCAACTTATATAAAGAATAATTCCTGGGTAATTAAATATAACATACATCACTGGCAAGATCCCTTGAAGCTTTGGCAGCAAGTAAAGGCAGAGAATCAAGTTTCATTTCAAAGCCCTGTCCCTTGCTCTTCTCCCAGCCTTCTTTATACTTTATCTGAGAAAAAAAAGACAGCAACATGTCACTAACATATAAACACACAAGATCTTCTAATGAACGTGAAGATGACTATGAGCAAAACAGAAGTAGAAATCCGCTCAGTCCACAAACTGGAACGTTCTTAAGTCACAGCTGATCATCATTTTGAGCCAATTAATTAGCCAGTACTGAGTCAAGAATTTTATTCTTGGAGTTTACAAGCACTTTAAATCCCAGAACATGCATGAATAGCTCTCAACTTTCAACAGACAAGGAGGAGGGAAGATTTTTCAAAAGTGCCTGTGGTTATATCTATGTACGCAAATCCTGTAGATCAATAGGAGCTGATCTATAGGGCGGAACAGCTGGTGCTCAGAATCAGACATCACACTGTTCATTTCAGGATTTTTCTTCCTCCTCCCCAACCCCCCCAACCCTGTCAAACTGGAGCTAGTCAGGTCCCATGCACTGAATGCCTATTTGTAGCTGCAGTTCTTTATGTGAGCTGCTGGAGAGCATCTTTCAGTTTGGCTTCATTCAAAAGGAATCCAGCTCATGTGCTCTCAGACCACCTCACAATGTGAAGCAAAGCTCAGTGAAGCAACCCTTATGATCAGATTTGCTTCAAAAGCACACTCATGAGCCACACTATATCACAAACGTAGATGAAATGCATGAGAATGACACGCTTAACTGCTGAAAGTTAATGGAAGTTAAAGTACTAGTTGTTTAAGCTCTTTTTCAAGGTTCCACTTGAAATCCTGTTAAAGCAGGCTCAAGTATGCCTTCACGTATACCATGCACGCACCTAATGAAGTACCCAGGAAGCCCTGATTTCTGGATTTAGCTTTTCATATGGTTATATTTTAGTAGTATGTAACAATGAGCATGGATCCCACCACATTATAGCCACGAAGAGTGTTGCTCCACAGCACTTCACCAGTGCAACTCAAATAAAACTTAGGGGAAGAATACAAGGCATAAATATGCCAGGAAAAACTTGCAGTGATGCCAACTCAAAACCATGAAAAGTTATGAAAATGGCTCAGAAATAACAGTCACACCAGTAATGAGTCTGGAGTCTTTTTCTGGGTTTGCATTTATGTCCCCTGTGGGGCTTTTTACCCTCCAAAACTACCTACAACAATGGAGGCCTGAAAAGTACTTTAAAAATTAAATAAAAATTAAACTTTTCCTGCAAGTGCTTGATTTTAACACCCAGGTCTCTAAGTAAATCACTACATATTGTTGTGAATTATGAATGGTAGCAACAGTGGGCTTGATCCAAGTTCACTGAAATCACTGTGCTTCTGACCATTGACTCCAGTGGGCTTTGAGTTATTAGAAGTGTGCAAATGTTGATTCTTTATACAAATACCACCTCAGAAGCAGTTCATTTTGTGAAGTGAACACTGACTTACTAAACAAATTCAAGTCATCTGAAAAGTTCTTGGAAAAAAGAAGTCCAGCAGTTTCACTGTACTTGAGATTGTATCCTGATCTATTCTGGTTACCACATCTCATGCTGTTTAATAAAGACCAGTGATAAATGCTGCCAGAAACAGTATCATCTTTACATTCATTTTTGTCTATTAACAGCATCATAAATAGTAGTATTTCCACATTGCTTGGCTTACCTCACTGTATAATTCAGCATTGGCTTTTGCCTTGACTAACTGAGGTACATCCTGAGGTAGAGTGTAATTCGTTTTTGTCTTCTCATACTGGGCTCGGTAGCTCAACTGCCATGTATTGAAAAAGCCAACAACAAACTCAGTTAATTTTAACTCACTAAAAATATGACCGTTATACTGATTGACTGCTATTGAATTCCAGGCTATTAGTGCCAGATATTATAGATACACTCATAGGTATGGCTGACATAAATATAAGGGCAATAAGGCAATTATAACTTTTACCTAGGTAACAGGAATTAGAATAATTGTTAACAGAATAGTTACTGATTTTCTAGAAGTAGAAAATATCTGATTAAAAAAACATGCATTAATAAATATACAGAAGGTAAATCCCTAAAAAAGCACACTAATACAACTCATAGACAGAGAAAAATATTAAATCTACTGGTATGCTTGGCACATTTTTGGAAGTCCTAGGTAATAGGAATTAGAATAATTGTTAATATAATAGAATAGTCACTGATTTTCTAACAGTAGAAAATATCTGATTAAAAAACATGCATTAATAAATATACAGAAGGTAAATCCCTAAAAAAGCACACTAATACAACTCATAGACAGAGAAAAATATTAAATCTACTGGTATGCTTGGCACATTTTTGGAAGTGATTTCATTGAATTTGTATTCTTGATTTGGTTTTAAATGTGCTGATGAACTATCAACAATAAAAACAGTTAAGTGCTTCAAATGGTATGAAATAAAATTATCTCATAATTCTAATAAACAATGATGGTTAATCATGACAAAACTTACATCACTGAGCTGCTGTGCATTTATTTTGGCTTGAGCAATTTGTGGAGTGCTGGCAACAGAGCTGTACTTCAGCTTGTCTATGCTTTGCCTGTAGTTTACCTAATTTAAAATAAAATAAAAAACAGATTTTATAAAGGAAGAAATGTCCAGACTGGAAAATGAGAGATTGTGTAGACAAAGTTTTGTTAGCTAGTACTCTTAATAAATCATTACTTAAACCATAATAAATTGAGACGAGGAAAAATGCCAGGATCTCTTGGATGAGATCTGAGCTAAGGCTCTGAAAATTTCCTTGTGTGAGGTGACAGTTTTTATTCCACTTTGAAAATGAACTTCACCCCTTCTCCTCAAAACCACAAATTCTTAAAAAGATGCAGTTTCAGCTGCTCCCCTAAGCATTCCTATCAAACTGATATCCCTGACCATCACTCAGACTATTCTTAGCAGACTTTCTCTATATAGGAACATAGTAATGGCCTATTAAGACGTCTGCCCACTGTAATGCTGTCGAGAGCAAATGAACTCTCTCACACTTCATCTTTACTGAGCTTTAATGGAATAATTAATCACATAATTTCCCTGTGTGGTTAAGAGTTTTGTGTGGATGATGAGTACAAAAAAAGTCATTTTAATGTCAGCAACTGGTAGGATCGGAGCCCACTAAATCCCTAACACATTAACATGGTAGCAGGAATAGGAAGTTATAAAATAAATATCTTAAATCCCCAAATTGTGCAAGATAAAAAAATCATGGACAAGCTTTCTTTCAAACCTGATGCTGCCAAAGGGCTCAGTGCTACACTGCAGGACACAATTACTATTCTCTGTAGGCCTTATTTAATATTCACCGTAGTTAATCACTACGTTGCAAACATTGCAATCACATTGCTTAAAACTAGCTTCTTAAGAACACTTCCTTTCCAGTGAAGTGGAGGATATTTCTAGAGACTTTGAGTAACCAAAACCATTTTAATGGGAACCTTCTTATCTCAGGGAACCTCACCTAAACCTTGTTCTTCCAGCCATAAAGACAAAAACTAGGAAAAAAGGCCTGAATTATCTCACATGTCCAACATGATCAAGGTATTTAGAACAGTTCATTTACTTCTTTACAGAGACAGAGAGAATTTTACTTCCACAGAAATGCATAACTTCTTTTAAACTGAAACTGTGTGTATTTATTGCTACTTGTGATTGCTTAGTGTGTGAGAGAGTTGTATTCTTTAAGAGTTCAAAGTTAGCATGTTCACTATCAGAGAGCAGATGAGCCTTGGGACTGTTTCAAACTATGAGGTGATGATCATGACTAGTGCAACTGAGTCTCTGTGGCCAAGTGATTTACGGGCTCCAAAACCAGATGCTGATTATGAACCGTAGAGCCACAGGTAGTGCTGAAATGTTTAGAGTGGGTAAAACTCATTTCCACATTTTGGACATGAATTCATCCTTCCTTTGAACTCTTTTAAGAATACAACTGTCTCATACACTAAGCAATCAAAGAGTGAACCACTTTTTTAAACCTTTTTCAAAGACAAAGCTGAAATAGGCAATAGTGCATCTTACAGTTGAAGTATATCAAGTACTTCCTCAAAAAAGTTATTGTTCTCAATACTACCTCTTCATGCTACCATCTTTTTCTTGGAATAGGTATTTAGGTCCAGATAAATCTCACATGATGTTAATGGCCTCTCTAAGGCATCTTGTCCCTGATTTCTTGCAAGTTGAACAGAAAGACAGGTTATATACATCTTAGGTAGTCAGAAATGCCTTGCAGAGGTGCTGCTGTCTTCCTGTTAATTTTAAGTAATGCCTGGTGACTGTGCTAAGGCACAGGTTATGTTTTCAATGGTAGGTGAGATCAATCAAGCCTTTAAGGCTTGTGAGAGGTGAAATTATGGTATCCTCTACAGGCTGACACCCTCTATTTATCTGTAGAGCGCATATAACCACAGCACTACACAGATTTCTTCACATTGTTCCACCAGTAACTCAACTCGAGGCACAGAGGACACCTCTCTCACATGGACCACAGACAGTTGATGTGGCCAGTTAGTTGCCCTTTAAAGGGGAAAGCTTGTCTTGAGGGAATTCTCAAAGGATGAGAAGCTTAAGTCTCCCTACCCTTTCAGTGCTTGATACTGCTTTTGAAGCCTCCCAGGATGATGAGACATTTTGCAACACAGACCAGTGATGGGGCAGAACTCACTCATTTCATATAACTCTACAATCTGAGACTGAACTGAAGCCAATGGCAGGAGGTGCCAGCATTTTCTATTCTTCCGAGACCTCTTGACTCCCTGCACCTTTTTTGCTTTAACTTTGTTATCACTAGCTGTTTGCTCCCATGATTAAATCATTTGACACATGCAATCTATCACAATTTCTCCTACAGAGAGAGGATGAGCCATGCAAGTCATAGAAAAAAAAAAAAGCAAAACATAAATTTACATCTTTCAAAGGGACCAACTTCCTTGTTGTCTGATATGAAGGAGTGAGAGTAGCTGGGTAATTGTAGTCAACACCATCATGTTTGTAATCAGATTTATAGGCTATCTGAAACACAGGGAAAACAAACAAAAAAAATCACTTTTTTTTTAAGCTGTCATTTGTTTGAATAATTATCAGTCAAGAGGAAAGGAGAAACAATAATATTAATATTAAATGCAAGAAACAAAGTAAGTTCAGTGTCATGAGTGACAAAGAAAATGAAATTATTTGCATAGTTTAGCCACTAATTGATTCTTTTTCAGCTCCTCAATTAATCCAGTGCCAACAGTGGGAGCATTAACTTAACTTCCACCTATGACACATCTCTTTAATCTTTCTGCTTAGTTCTCAAGCTTCTTACAGATTTGTAAATAATGTACTTGAAGGAATGGTATGTAACAAAATAGCTTCTTGACTAACCCAGTAAATTAAATTGGAATCCAGAAATCTTTATTAAAGTCTGGTTTTTCAGCAAAGGTCTGACCCTGGGGGTGGTGGCAAGCAACCTTCAGCATCCTACTGATGTCAAAGAAAACTGAAGGAGCTCAGTATGTTGCCAGATGACTGAATTTGCTTATTTTAACTTCTTCCACACAGTGAGCTATAAATGAGTACAAAAGGTTTTTCAGAATTTCCCCTCTTCTCAACATATCCATCCTTCAGATCACCAGTACAATATGATCTAAACTTTTCTATCAATTTAATTCTGGAAAAACTTGAAGACAAGAAAGCAACCACCATACAAATGCAATTAAAAAAGACTTACATTGCTTGCCAAGCTGCCAACTTTCATGGCATGTAGCATTCGCTTGTCCATGCCCATACCTACATAATGACCTTTCATCTGGTTCTGGTAGGTTTCTTTGTATTTTAGCTGTAAAAAACCAAACAAACAAAACAACAATAAAACACCTCTGAGAAAACACATTTGTTTTTCTATGAGTTTCCATACGTTACAGCAGTGAGAGAAGTTATTACAGTTGTGGTCTACTTGTGTTGCACCACTACACCACTACAAAAACTCATGAGTATAAAACAACCTTGGTACTTTAAAAAAATAACACCAAACCCCTCTGTGAGTCTTCTATTTTACAAGATGTCATTTACATATTCTTCAGATCACCTGGATGCCACATAAAGGAGATGCTTCTGCCTTCTACTGCTGCATATTATTTCACCAGAAATAAATATTAGAGCAAAGTTGCATGGAAGCATTATTTGTACATTAACAAATTAACAGATAATCCTTTACCCAAACTGGACTGCCGTGGTGCAGCTATAAACCAAGCCCAGAGTAGGGAATTTGACAACAAGATAAATTAACCACTCCACCACCTTATCTATATGGCAAAAGATTACTCCTCCTGGATTTCAAAGAATAGTAGCAAGCAGTATAAAGCAAAATCATACTTCAGTATCAGGAGATACAAGCAGTATATTTATTACTTTCACACAGTAAACGTTTATTTCTGAGATTAACTCTAGTAAGGTATCTTCTGCCTATCTTTCCAGTCAGGAAATGGACATACACAATGAAATAAGTAATAATTATGATAAATTACAACTGAGAGCTACTTGTCTAGATTAACAGCCCATTGTAAGTAACTTCTCTTCCATACATCATAATAGCTCTTTTCATAAGCCTGTATAGAATGACTCCCAGTTATCCATCAGGACAGACTAGGATAGGTGTTGTACAGACATGGGTTAAAATCAGTTACAATCAAATTCCCACCCCATGCCTATCTGAAACACACAGATGCCTTGTGATTCCAGCAGCTACCAGGTCAAGCAAGCCATACATGGGGTACTGAAAACTTACATCACTGGTGAATTTTGCGATCTTGCTCACATTCTTGAACTGTGGAGTATCACAGTAGTTCATGCTGTAGCCGCTGTTGTTCCCGAGATCCTTCTTATACTCCACCTTAGTGTAAAAAATGCACAAGGGAAAAATATGCTAAAACGTTAACCTGCTCTGTCAAGTTCCTCCACACTCTTTTTATTAGGCAGACCCACTCTTCAGAGATTTTATTAATGAGGATGAGGAAAATTATTAACAAAAACAAGGATCTACAGAAAAATTTTAATGTGACTGTGGAAAACGAGTGTTTTTCGACAGAAAGGACTGAACAGGGGGCAGTTTACCAGCAGATTCAGATTAAGTTTAAATACAGAATTGGTTTAATATTTTCATTAAGTACCTTTGCTCTGGAGTACGAATGTTGGGAGTGATACTAAAAGGGTTAATAGAAATAGAATCAAATTCAGCAATGTAAAGGTTTGTATAAATAGGGAGGAATCATAAAAATTTCAGCTGTAAGAGCTCATCACCTGGATAGGCTGACAAAACTGCTCATATGTAGGCAGACGACAGAAAGATGGTGAGATGCCAAAGTAACACAGCCATGAAAAAAGGAAATGGCAGGAGACTTGCTCCAAGGCAGAAGCAAGAGGAAACTTTTGAGCAGGCACTGGGAAGCGCACGTGCTATGTACCAGGTTCCAGCAATACCTCATCAAGAACTTATGTACTCTTACATTCATTCCTCTTTAAGGAACATGCACTTAGCCTGTAACAGCTGTAGTGAAAGACTGTGAGAGATGAGAAGAATTCAGCTTGCTTAGTCTAAGAAATCAAAGGCAGAGAGAAGGAAATCATATCCATCTGTAAACAACTCAGAAAGGTAATCATGCAGGGAGAAGAACTTTTTAAACTAAAGGGCAATGTTGGCACAAAACACAATAGTAATAAGGTGGACAGGAATAAATGTAGGTTAGAATTTAGAAGAAGAGGGTTATATGATACTGTGCCGAAACAGCAGGAGCCAGGAATCATTGGCCCAGGAGGGCCCTTCCAGTCCTACTTCCAGGGGGTTTTCATTATTGAAGGTTTTATACTTTGACATCTCAAGAGTATAAGTTTTTAAACTGCCATGGGGAAGCTCTAGAAACTCACATTTATTAATAGCTGATATGACACTATAAATAAATTAATACTTCAGAATCTACTGAGAATTCCCTAGCAATCTTCGCTTGCCAAGCAGAAGAATGAATTATCAGTAACTCACAGTCTTTCACATGATGGAAGAAAACAGAAACTACATTAACAGCATGGTAAAAATTTTGGCTCTGTTGATGTTATTTTTTAATTATCGGTAGAACCTTCTTTGTAGCACTCTAAGGTACACACCCAGGACGTCCTCCAGCATTTATGATTAGAACATCACAGCACATTAAGAGCACAATTGTTGGGGATTTTTTTAGATTTCTATTCTTCATTTGGCCAGAATCAGAATTACTCTTCTGAGGTTAATTTCCCTTACTTTCAAAACAGATCATTGGAAGCGCCAGATAACAGCACGTGAAGATCTGTTCTTGCACCTTTCTCTCTGGTTACTGTGCTACACACAGATCACTTTTTGTTACGTACGGGGCCATAAGAACAACAGCTTTTTACATTTGTAGTCCTTACCTATTAGACACAAATGTTTTTATGAGCTGCTCTCAAACTTGTTAACAGATCGATTCAACCCCTTACCTCACTGACAAGCTTGTTAACACTTTGGGCTTGTTTGAGGACTAAGTTGTCTTCAGCCGTTAGGGAGTGAAAGTGAGCTGCACCTTTCATCTTCGAAAGATCTTTCTTGTATTTTATCTGAAAAGTAGAGAAAATTATAAAATAGATGTCTACTTTTTACCCCTTGCTGTTCAGACTGGCTTCATGAGCTGGGATAAAATTTTTCCTATTCTTGCTTTGATAAGTAAATAGAACTTGCTAAGTTGAAACACTGCAAGTTATTCCTTCCTGAAATAAAACATATATAAAATCACAGCCCTAGAAGTCCCTGCCAAGCCACTTGACTAGACAGCATTTTTTTTAATCCATTTTTTACATAGATTGAACAGCTCTGGTTGTTGTTCATGCCTTGAACAGATAACCAGCAGATTCTTGGCTAGTGACTAACTGGAGCTTGTATGATCTTCTATTACTGAAGTTAATTCTCAGTACTTTAATTTTAGATTCATAGTCAGAGAATTACAGATAGTCATCAAGTGCTCTTTGAACTTTTCCTTTTGTAGAAACCAGCTTTTTGAGAAAGCTGTATCTTTTTGCACTTAAAATATTATAAGAAAACTATATTTCTCTACTAAATCAATACTGGAATAAGGGATCTTTTAATTTAATTTTGACATCAGGTTATTGACTTCAATTGAGCTAGGATAGGTGAAGAGATATAATACTTATATGTGCCATCTGCCAAACTCTGTCCAGCAAAAATCCTGTTGGGAATATACTCCAGTATTTCTTGCATATAAGGAGATGTTTATATTTCTTATGTTACTGCTTTAAAAATCAGATTCATAATACACAAAATAACATTATCTGTAATGTGCTGAAGTGCAAAGTATTTTCTTATTTTATTTTCCAAGTCTGCACACAGTTTCTCAGGCTTTAAATACATAAAGCAGCTCGATAAGTACTCTAGTGTGTTAAGGTTACTGCCATGAACCAACCCTTCTCCTTGCTCCAGGTATTATAAAATAATAAGGAAACAACTGACCATTAGCATTTTGAAAACCTATGAAACTGCCATCTTTATATGGAAAGGTTAAATATTTCATGTTTAAACAAGGGATCACTTAGTTTGGCATCAAAATAGGGATTGGTCACAGAAGGTTTCAGGGTTTTTATATTCTCTCAGCCATAAGCTCAGGTAACAGAATATGACTGACGGTTTCACCTCAATTTACTGCTAGTGTCTCGTCCAGGCTAGTACAAGCTGAAATACTCAACTGCCCGTTAAGTCCCCAGAAAAAACTGAGCCAATCAGCTCAGATAGCCCCACGGGGGACAGGTCTCCACACTACAAAGGCTGTCACTCGCAGGAAGGCTTCACAGCAGCCACAGGGCAGTGACCTACAGACTGACCCATTTTTTGTCACTACTAGAAATGGTCTTCTCAAATAAGACTGAGGTTCTTCAATAAATGGCCTGCATGGAAAAATCACATATCACCACCGTTTTTTCCAATTCTTCAGCTTACCACCAAAAACTAAAAATCCCCAGCCTAGAAATAGGCTCAGTCCTGTGAAGTGACAGTGTTGTACTCTATGGTTTCTTTTCCTCCATATGACATGCTTTGTGCTGGAGGCATGATACATCAAAATATCAAAACCAGTTCAGCTCATTCATCCTCCATTTATTCACTACTGGGAATACCACAGTAGACCACAGGATGATTAAGGCAGTTGAAGGTTTCATTAATAATACAGGTGCAGATTTGCCAGGAGGGTTAACCTAACAGTAGGGATCCCCATTAGTTGCTACATCCATCTCCTCCCTCATGCAAGCTGGAGCTATGTCCCCTTCCATTAATGGATATTATTAATCCCCTGAGCCATCCAGTCCCTGCAATGCAGTGAAATGTCATTGTTGTTTACTTCTCAAGTGTAATTTTAGCATTCTCCTCCCAGGCACTGCTCTGACAAACTGCTGTTTTTAATTGTTTATGAGTTGTATTGATTCAGGTTTCATACTTACATCACTTGCCAATTCATTTGCTTTCTTGGCATTTTGATAAGCTGGAGTGATCATAGCAGGAAAGCTTCCTTTCCCTCTGCGTTCTTCATACTCATCCATATAATCCTGAAGAAAATTCAGAGTGTTTACTCATCATACATGAGCAGGTGGGGCCATAGATGATTTAACAAAGCCCCACAGTTCTCGTTAGTAGGGAAGTTCATTGCTTCATTTTATACTTTTAATGAAAAAAGAGAATAAAATGACCAATTGTAAGAATAAAATCACCCATTCAATTAACTGTGCCTGTAAAATTACTTGTGCTGCATTGCAAGAGAAATTTAGGTAGCAATTGGCTGTGGTCAAGACAGCATTCAAGTATACAATGGTATAAAACCTTTTAATCTCACCTCAGTTCTTACAGAGATGATATCTGCTACCCCCTCTCTCTGTCACTATGTTTCCCTGGAAAACTATAAAAATATCTAATAGTTTGGGCAGCCAGGAGATTTGCTTAAAATTCCCAAGTTTAGCATACGTTCAATCTTCCTCTTTGACGTGACAGAATTCTCTCAATCTCTCCATGGCCATTTTTCACATCATAACTGACCAAAAATAATATTTCTCTAGTTAAGTGTTATATTTTGAATAGGGATTCATTAATGAAGCAGAAATATCTAGACATTAACGTGGTATATTTCTAGGGAACGAAATCACAACATTCCATTTGCTTGATTTAAAAAACAATTGTTGCAGAATTAATAGTCTTAAATCTGTCTATAGATAAGTTTATGTGTAACTGCTTGACAATTTGAAAAACTTTTTTATAATTTAATAACAAAATACTGGAGCTATTTTAAAAATGGTAATACACAATGACCATCCCAAAGCTTTCTATGGCAAAATCTGGGAAGAGTATGGTAAGTATACGGACAAGTAAAATATAGCGTAATGTGTCTTTTCTGTAGTATTTTGTAAATCCTTTGTAGTAAAGAGTCAGTTTAAGTGAAAAAAAGCATGTGTGGCAAGTCAAGAGTGTAATGAAGAACCAAATAGGAAGGACTATAAAAATTTGGGTTCTCTCTCTTGTGACATCTCGGTACAAAACAATCCATTGTAGGTCATTTTGTGCACCATCAATGTCACATGGTAAGATAGGTCATATCATAAGTTTGTGAACAATATAATGTAATTATAGTTATTCCTGCTAAATTATTCTATAAACAGGCATAGAAAATACAAAATATCCTTGACTAATCAGCTGAGTTAGTTTCTTAAAATGCCATTCATAAGCCTGAATTCTTCAGACTAACTTGCCAGATTAACTTTTCTCCTAACTTTCTTAGATACATTTTTCTATCATTTCTAATATTTCTCCTATTACAAAACAGTATTTTCATAGTTCCAGATAATTTATTTTAGCCACTTCTAAGATTTGTAAACATGAATGTAACAGATGTTCAGTACACAGGAATTTTACAGTATGATTCCTTAAATTGTCTCATGTTATATATATATATATGAATGATGTACCCTCATGATCTCCAGAGTTAGAAATCTAATCCATTTACCCACGTTAAGTCACACTTCACTCAGATAGTTCCATTAATTTCAGTGGCTCTATTTTATTTGAATAAAAATATCAGAATCCAATCTGTGAAGATTAAAACTCAAATTAAATTTGAAGTCTGTGACTGAAGTTTCAAAGATACTTTCAAAGAAAGAAAACTTAAATTAATTCTAAAGATAGAAGCATTCTGATGCTTGAAAATGCAATTAGCGCTTTTTCAAATTCATTTTATTTGTTTATTCTTACTAAAACTTGTAGTAGTTCAAAAGACAGAAACTAATTGAAGGCTTCATTGCTGCATATTCTAAACTCATATTCTTCAAGAATGGTTTGCTTTTCACACATTACAAGATGTAGGTTTGGTCAGAAGAAGTGAAGACACGTAAAATATCGAATGTCTTTGGACAATATATTCCTTGTTCCTTCATTTCTCCACAGTACATGGGTCTCATGAGGAACTAGGATTCACATATTCACAATTTCACAGATTCTCAGATTCACAAAGTGGAAGGGACCTCTCTTCGATTTCTCCTCACCCAGCTCTCCAGCCTGTCCTGGTCACGCTGCATGGCAGCACGGCCTTCTGGCGTGGCAGCCACTCCTTCCAGTTTAGTATTGCCAGCAAACTTGCTGAGAGTACACTCTATCCCTTCCTCCAGGTCACTGATGAATATATTGAATAGGGCTGGACCCAGCACTGACCCCTGGGGGATGCCACTAGCCACAGGCCTCCAGCTAGACTGCCTCATTGACCACAACTCTGAGCTTTTTCCTGCAGCCAGGATGAAAAACCCAAGACTAATCACATAGTTGTGTTCATACAAAACCATTATTCAATTCCTTTCAAATTCCCTTTAGCTGTATTCAGATCTATTTAGCTGTACTATTTCCCTAATTTAATTGGAATAGAACTTTGGATGCATTTTGGAGACCACAAAAGTATTTGCATTCCCTCAAAAATGAAACAAAAGCAAATCGAATGCCACAGGCCAAAGCAGAACTAAAGCCTATTTGGTTCCACAAATACAGAATTACAACTTGTGAAACTTACAATACCGCTTTTGAAGAACAGCTGAAATCTAAGAGATCATGTATGATCTTCAGTGCCAATTACACATACTTATTGCTGCAAATCTAAGATTTCTAAAAATACTGGCAGGGAAAAGATGCTCAACTATCTACAAACATTCTAGCACTTCACAGCCCTTTCACTTCTTCTCCTAACTGAATTTACATTTTCTTTCTCAAGGAAAGGGAAAATTTCTACAAGTAAGCACATTTCAGTGTGATAGGTAACAACACCACAACAGAAACGTAGAGTTCACACATGCATATAGATAAAATATGCCAAGGTAAGGCTTCTCTTTTGGAATGACTCTACAATAAGGATCATGCAGTTACAGTGCATGCACCTTGTAGTCTTATCTTGTAAGTGCCAGTGCCAAATATATCACACAATCAGAGCATGGTACCCTTGCACACTATCTTTTCCTTTGAGACCTTGCTTTCTCCTACAGGAAAGCAAAGTGCAAATAGGTCTCACTGTAGTTTCTAAAGTCTTGAGCAACCAGCTGCAGTAATGATGAACATCAGCATGGGTATCTCTTGGATGTTTCATACCTGGCCATACTGAGCTACATTTTCTCTTTCAAAAGTAACGTCTGTTCCAGCTGTATGGCTGGCTTTTCCCTTGATCTCTTTTTCATATCTTTGATGGTACTTTACCTAACAGGAAAAAAGAAAAGCATAATTGGGATGAGTTTAGTCTGGTACACAGATGCTGCATAATAAATAATAATCAATGACACTCACACGTTGACAATACAAGATAGTCAAAGTTCCCATTGCCACCAACCTACAGAAGTCAAATATGCCACTTGAAGACACAAAAAACAAAAACAGAGGTGTGCTTTTTAATAATGCACTAGGAACATGGGACTTGCCATTTCAACCCAGACCATTAGTTCAGTGTGTTCAGAAGCCCCTGCTTGTCAGTGGCTAATCCCTGATGCTCCAGCAGGTTAAAAAAACAGAATGTAAATTCACTGTTACCACAGAGCATTTTATTTACCACAGGGACTTATGAATGCCATTAATAAATGGGCTTATTGCTGAAAGATGCTGATATCCCCAGTGATCAAGGAAATTTTAGGCAATCAAAGTTTAGACCAAGATTTGCACTACCTTTGCTGAAGTCAAAATAATGCCTATAACCTGATGCTCCCCTTTAATCACCATGTGTGTTTGCTGACACAAATGAAGGGTTTTCCACAGATCAAAGGCAAACAAAAACATTTAAATGTTTTAGAGTCAGTTGCTTTTGCCTTCAAAATTACAGATCTCTTCTTACTTTCTTCAATGACTCTTAGTAATGTTTTAAATTCACCTCCACTGAGCTAGCACAATAGGTTATCTTATCCAACAAAACCAGCTTTCTTTTCAGTCTCCAATGACAAAGCACAATTAATTCTACTTTTTGAAGCAATGTCCCATTACAATGTTTTTTAAAGAATATAGAGGTTGGTTTGCTATGTTTGGAGAAGAAAAGAAAGCCACTAAGGACCAGTGCACCTCGGAGTTTTGAAAAAACTCACAAGAGTAAGGAGAGTAAAAGGAGTGGAATAGAAAGCTGTATTTTATAAATCTGTATCTATGTGAAATGTATGCGTGTGTGTGTGTGCACACGTGTGTATACACTTTACATATAAAGTTGCTATCCAAGAAACTAGTTTCTTGAATTCATAAAAGCCTGATCCTGCAACAGCAGAAAAGAAGGAATAGAAGAATGAACTGTAAGGATTCAATGGGAGCATGAAAATTCATGGCAAATCAGAGCTCTGCAAACACAGCCCTTCCCTGATATAAGGTCACCCAGAAATATTGTGGCTGTGTAACGTAAAGCTGCACTTCAGCCCCTCTAACTCATACTGGGTTGGACAGAATGAAATCAAAGACCTCCAACTGACTTCTCACTGTCTTCCTTCGCAGTTGTATGCAACAGGAGGTTGCATAAACGGGATGCTTTTGCCCACAGAAATCCACAGTGTTAATTCACACAAAATGCCTAATTTTCTCTTTGTGCATATAACTCAACTTTGTCCTTACAAAAGATAATCACTTGAAAATCTGTGTGAAGTACACTGCTAGCATAATTCCGCAGAGCTCATGGAATTTCTGTCAGTAAACATTTTAATCAAAATTTGTGTGAGAATTTTTTATTTCCTTCCCAAAAAGAGACTTTGCTTTGGACACTTACATCACTAGCTAATTCATTCGCTCTCTTGGCTATTTGATAAGCTGGAGTGATCATAGCAGGAAAGCTGCCTTTCCCTTTCCGTTCTTCAAAGTCTTCTGTGTATTTCAAATGTAAAAATCCAAGACAGTTCAGGAGCAATTAGATCAAATGTATCTTGATTGCACACATAATCAATTCTTAAAGCTGCAAAGTCAGGCATTTGATGGCTGTCATCTGCCAAAAGGAAGATGAACCATGAAGTCTGAATCTTTACAATGTAGTCCTTAACTACACGATTGTGTATCTTCTGCAGGACCTCTGTGTTTCATTCAGGGTATAGAATAGATCAAAGTTGTTTGAACAAAACACTACAGTCTGCAAGATGCCTGCTGTACTTATATTAGAGCCAGGCAGCTTCCTTCTTTAGTTTGCATGGTACCCAGCTGCTGGGTATAGAACAGTCTAGTTCTCTGCCTTCACTTCTGACAGACAGCTAATCCCTAAAATGGCCTACAACAAAATATGGTCTTTACAACTGGAATTATTAAATATTTAATGGTAAAATGTACCAAGAATATTTTAAGGTAATAGACATTTCAAGAGTCTGCCTTACAAATATTAATTTTTTACTTTTCTTTATGTTCATAATTTTAAATGATTTATAAATGTCCTAAAAGCCACATGCAGAGTCAAACCCAAGTCAACCTATTTTGTTTCACTTACATCACTTGAAAGCTGTCCTCCAACCTTTGCATGAAGTATATCTGGAGTGTCTACAACAGAGGTGAACTTTGAAACTCTCTCTTCGTGTCCGCGCTTATATTCTACCTGAGGGAGAAAACATAGAAAATACATATTAGAAACAATAAGCAGAAATTATCAATTTTCTATCAGAAGGCTTCAAAAGAAAATGAGCAACAGCAGTCACGACATTCCCCACTGTACCGTCAAGATACCAGTATATTTAAGGCCCCATTTCCTTAAAGTGCAGGCCAGAAGCAGACAGAAATGGCCCCAGATAAACAGATTTTCAAATTATACTAGATTTATGTAGCCATACATTTGATTAAAATATTGTGAGAATAGCCATTAACGGCCCAAAATGCTAAGATCATACTGCAGTGACAATGCAGTCTTTGCAGAAAATATCGCAGTACTTCAAAATAATGTCTACAGGATTTATTTTTACTCGATCTTTTCCAGCTGAATTGTTAATTTTATAAATAAGCAAATTTCCATGCCTATATTTAAAGTAGTTTGTATGTGTATTAAATTCAATATTACAGGTATTTAACTTCAAGCAATAAAGAAAGAGAAAAACATCAGATATAAACAAATAGATTAATAAGGTCATAAAGTGAAAATAAGGTAATGAATTAAACAGATTATGAGTGATTCACAATCTGTTTCAGAGTATGATAAAATACAGCAAATTTTGCTGTATTTATCTTTCATAAAATATTTTTATTGTCATTTATTCTATATGATTTTCTCCCCAAGACAAGTAGTGTGTTAACCCCGCTTCCTGCATCATGTTAAAGTCTTCTCACTTTGCAGAATTAACAGTACAACAAATACTCATTATAGAACTTACTAATGGAAATGGCCTAAACCCAGGATTCTCCAATTTCAGAAGTCTAACATACAATTAAAAAACCTGAGACTTACATTACTGCTTAGTTGGGTGGCTCTCTTAGCAACCTCATAACCTGGAGTGATCATAGCAGGAAAGCTGCCTTTGCCTCTCCGTGGCTCATATTCTTCTGTATATTGAAACTAAAAAATTAACAATTTTGGTTTGTTGTTACAGAAGAACCCATCATAGTTTAATATGATTCCTCTTTTAATGCCTGCTTCCTGACAGTATGCACCACCTTATTTAAAAGCAGAAAAAATTAAAGGACTTGAAAGGTATAAGTTTGTTAGGCAGAAATATTACCCACATGCAACAGAAAACAGTTCCCATTCATATCAGTTACCCACTGCTAATTGGCTATGTTGACCGAGTCACTAAGCCATAGTATGGGCATAGACAACAAGTCATAATTCAGAAGTGATTTTCATCAGTCATGGAAATACAGTCAATAAAAGGTCTACTCTGTGGAAAATAAAACATGGTTTCCATCATGAGTTATGTTCTACTGAGAGAAACACCACTCCCTGCTCTATCAGGACACAATCAATGTCTCCTCAGCTATCACTGGTCAGTAGCTGAACTACAATTCAATCAATTACATAAATATATAAATGTGTGATTTTCAGTATGAGCAATAGCATTGTTATGTGACTTTAATCATCAACATGGTTAAATATTGTTACTGACAGAAGTAAACATGTCGGTCTCTCCTTTGGCAACATCTTACCAAAGGTCAGCTTTAATGCACTGGTAAGTCTTCAGAATATGAGTGCCCATGAAAATAAAGCTATTCCAATCATCAGCTCACTTACATCATTTAGAGTCTTTTGTGCTTGTGTTATCCTGACCATCTCAGGATCTGGGATGGTTCCAGAATACCATGATCTTCCCTCCTCATAGGCAGCATAGTAAGCATTCTACAAAACAAAAATTAAATAACTGCCAATCTTCACCCATGTTTTAATACACAAACAGCTGAACTGACAGAAAAGAAGGAAACACACATGAGGCTGTGGAAGCGAAATTTACTCTGCAGATGTACAGCAAAGGCCAATACTCCACACACCTTCAGAATACTCGGGCAGAGCTTGTATGATGCGAACTGACATCGAGATGTCAAGATCTAGAATCCTGGAGTGAGACTCAAATTATTCCGCCTGGGAATCAGACCACTTGTTGTGAAGCTTCAGTGTCAGTAGAAAGAAGACTTGTTGCGTATGGCTATGCAAGCAGCAGTCCAAACAGCTAACTCTATAGCTACACTCCTCCTTATCTTCTGATTCTTGCACTCTAAGCTACAATCAAGCTATGCTGCCTTCGAAGTTTAGCCAATGAGGAGCAATGGCATTTTCAGCACTGAAATGCTGCGAGTAAAACCCTGACAATCCGGGTTGCCAAGGCTGACCCTTGGTGTTCTGCAGGCTAGTGGCTTGGAGACTTGAGGGCTTTTTCTTACCTGGGTAGCCAGTTGTTGAGCTTTATAGGCAGCTTCAGTTTCTCTGGACCTTACATCCCATTGAAAGACTGATTGGAATTGTTCAGCCTCTTCTCGATATTTTACCTAAAAAAAAACCACCCCAAAAAGATGGTATTAGTGATTTGGTAGTACAGACTAACACGGACTCCTCTTAGGAGAGGAACAAGAAAGGAGACAAACAAGATGAACACAGTCTCTTAGTCCACAGTGATATGGAGTCTGCACAAACTGCAGCAACAATGATATGAATGCAAAGGCAAACCAACAAAAACAGTGCAATTCCCATCACAGCAAATTCACTTCTGTGCCTGCCAGTTTTGGCTGCACCTGAAACCAGTCTGAAGCAAGGCAACTTCCAAAACCACCTCCGGCCCAACTAGGTGACCCTTCTTTCTGTCTCTCACTCTGACGCCATCAGACAGGCAGCTGTTGGGGAAACTGGATCTGGGAATTCGTATGTAGGCTTCTGCTGCATTAGCTTTCAGCTACATCAGTTCCTTCGCCTGTCTCACTGCAAAAATCAACAATACCAACGCAAGGGAAGCAGAGGAACAATATGACTGCACAGAACTAATTCTCTGGGTGGCGGCATCAACGTTTAAGATAATTTACTCAGTCATGTTTACCTGTGTCTATGCATTAGTTCTCCAATTGCTTCAGCCCAGCCTAGTTTCCAGTGCTAATACATTTGTTCTGAAGACACATTCATACACGATATGAATGCAGAAACCAAGGGACTATGACAAGCACACCTGGTCCACCAAATCTCCACAGTCCACAGGAAAACACCAACTACTTTCTGAGACCCTGCAAAACTCTCTATCTTTTCCTGCGTCTCCCTCTTTTGACCAACACCACTTACAACCTGCTTATGTACAAAAAAGCCACATAGTCTGTAGCTCTATGCCATGCAAAGACTACGTAAGTACTTCCTACATGCCTCCCACTCTTGGAAAAGGAGTCTCCATGTAAGAGATTTGGTTTAGCCCTAAGTCAAACCTCTGTTCTCTAATCTGCACTCAGATTCTACCTAAGATTTTTTGCTATTATTGGAGCTGCACATCTGTAAAGAAGCAGCATATTAGACCTGAAATCTGGCATGAAGCTCTGAAAGAATAATAGTCTTTAGACAGTGCTTTTGGGGGACATAATCTGTGAGGATTGAAAGCCCTAAGAAATTTTAAGCAGAACATATCAATGCAGCATTAGATGAAAGAACTATTAACCTTGTGGGCAATATTCTACTCTCCTATTTCCCTGCACAGTGTTCATGAAGAACCACGAGTGTGTAAATGTAAATGACTACTATATTTAGGCCTGGATCATCGTCTTCCTACTGTTACTTTTATCATGACAGCACACAGAAATACAACTGAAAGCACAGCTCTGTTATACGACCCACTGTACAGCTGTAAAAAAATCACAGTTCCTGTTCTGAACAGAGCAAAATCTAAACTGGCTGGACAGAAAAATCACTGAGCATGTGTACCATTATCCCCGTTTTATAAATTAAGTACAGAGGTACAGAGAGATGAATTATTTGTCTGCTTACACAGAAAGTCTGTGTAGAGGGAGAGAGCTGGATTTTTATCTCTATATTCGAGTTGGTGTCTCAAGACATGTGAAAACATGACGTTAGGATTGAAGAAACGTTACGGTTTTTGCATAAGAAATAATATTACCTGAAACCCCCCAACAAACTACAGTAGCAGTTGAAACCTTTTCCTAAATTAGTATTATTTTATACTGTTACCAATGAAAAAGCTCTCCCATACTCAAAATTTCTACAGAAGTGCTTCCTTTAAGTACGTACTGCAGAATCAGCTTCTTTACTACCCTTAGCAATTTTCTCTCTGGAGCAGAGCCTCATTACGTGATTGAAAAGCACAGAAGGCGCTTTAGGTGTAAAAAACAAGGAAAGTGACCTTTGAGCTACACTTTGTCTGGCACATATATTCACATGCACTGGAAGTATCAGTCTCATATCACTGCCTAAAACCAGAAATAGAACCTGCAGTAATCCCAAACTCATTCCTGACCAGCTCTGTCACACACAGTTTAAAGTAAGTGTGCTAGTCACTGCTGAAATAGTCACTGTCTATGATATTGCAAAAACTGATGCATACGAATACTGTACAAGAATGATAATGATACAGCTTCTGATAAAGGCTATTAAGTGTACATCAACTTTGTACAGCTAATACAGAACATCAGAATTAATATATTATGCTATAATCTAAGAAATAAAACTTCTCTCTTTTATTTTAATAATGGCTAATCACAGAGAAAGACATGGATTTGCTTACTAAATATAGCCTTGCAATGAACAGTATTATTTTAGAGGATCAAAAGACATGACATTCAAGAAAAGAGCATTGTACATCAAAGTGAGATAGCTATCGATTATTGGCTGTTTCTGTGTTTCTCATTTAATGAATTTCTTAGAAATGCAAGTTTGAAACAAATGTATGTGGAGGAAAACAATGTAAGACAGCAAAGAATGGCATTTGAAAAGAAAGAAGACTCTGAGCACCCCCAGAGGTTTTCCGGGGCACAGCAGCCTTTTCGAGGACTGATGCAGTTAAAAGGGCATGGAAAGCCAGTCCATCCTTAACGTTGTCGTGAAACATTTTCAGCAAAACCATGCAAAGCGCCCTGGACTTCGTGTTTTCTCACAAAAAGGGAAATATAATCTCAGGTTTGTCAGAAATACCTGACAAAGTATTTATGAGAACTTTTCCCTACGTCCTACTGAGATAGAATTTTTTGTTTTGTTTCATGCCCCTTTAGCATCAGTTCCAGAGATCATAAAGCGAGTAGGTCATGCTTGTTTCAAATGGCTGTGTAAAACCCCCTGAATTAGTAAATTCACACAGCTCTGGGCAGTATCTCCCACAGTTTATGTGAACAATGCTTCCATGTAGATTATCACATATGGCAGGTGATAAACTGCTCTTCATTTTTCTTTGTGAAAGTAAAAGCAAACTCAGATCTAACCTTTCTTTCTTATCAGAGAATGCATTTTTAAAATTATGATTCAAATCTGGGCTGAGATCTTACTGCTCTAAAAGAACACAGGAGGGTAAACAGATAATACATATCTACACTATGTAAAGAATACATTTCTAAAACAAGACACGAATATGATATCAAAATGTAAAACAAAGCTAAATACATTTGGCCCTCGAGCTTCTTACCTCACTTACCACTTCCGACAGTTTTTTTGCATTTATATTTATTGGTGTCTCAAACACGCTTGTGAACGCATTGTTTTTTGGATTATGTCTAAAAAAGGAAAGTGTAAAAGGATATTAGAAAGGTACCAGACAGCCCACCAGAAAAACACAATACCAGCTTCCCCCTCTCTATACATAACTTTTCCCCCACTCACACACAGATCTCAGATTACATTCAAGTTATTGTTGTATGGAGTAGGTGCCTAGAGCAAAATTAATTTTAATGATCGTCATATCAATGCGTTGTTTCTAATAACAAAAGAGAATAATAGAATAAAAAACAACTGTCATCTCTCCTTTTTCTGCTGACAAATTTGACAGGAATTGATCATTATAAAATAAAAACTTCCTAGAACAAACCAACTCCACAATCTGCATTTTATACATTTTCCTGGTGATTAGCTCAACCTTGTTAACTCTTAACCACTGATTTGGAAAGCTGAATTTTATGGTTGGGTTTATTTTCTTCCCACAGTACTGAAATGGAACTTAATTTGGTATCTTCTAACACACTGGACAAATGAGGAAGCTTTATATGCAGTAACTAGAGTTTCCCATCATTTGTGATCCACATAAATCCAAAAATATGCATGGAGTCACTAACAATACGTAATTTCACATCACACAAGGGACCAGGCTGAATGCAAATGGAGATCTTTCATTACATTAAAATGACCTGGCATTTTAAACCTTTGCATTAAGAAAAAGAAAAGGAAACACACTTACGCTTGACAGTAAGGCTTTTTCTCATGGCTAACAAAGTTGTTTACTGTTAACATCATCTTGCATATTTCGCAGTGAAAACAGGCTTTATGCCATGTCTGGAAACAACACAAAACAGAAACCAAACAGACATCATTTGTATTTCATTATTATTCTGTTGAGTTTTAAATCTCAGTATTGATCCTTGAGATTAATTTCATCTATTTGAAGAATTCTTCAAATACGTGCCTATTATTAACTCAGTTTTGAACCCAGTTACGAGTAAAGAGTTTTTGGAACCGAGAGATTTGCACTTTGTTAAAAGTGCCGATCTATACATTTATTATAGTCCGAAATAATAAAGAAAGACAACTGACCTGATCTATACAGTTAATCTTCTCAGCAGGGTAAACCCCATAGCCACATCTAGCACACGGCTGCACATTCATCTTGAAATCCACGGAGTGAAAAATATATAGGTTTATACAAAGGGTTCAAAGAGTATGAAAGTGACTTTTTGGCCTGTGCAAAGCACACTCTAGACACTCCAGTCAAGGCCTTTTGCTGTGGTCAATGGCTCCCATTAAAGCTCTGAATTGAAGTCTGTTGCTCCCTTTGCTGACCTTCTGTTTCAAAGTCAGCTGCAGGCTGGCTTTTAAAGCTGCCAGTTAGTAAGAGTGGTTATTTTGGCAACTGTGTCAGCGCGTAAGGGAGGGTAGCAATATCTTTCTCTAAATAGAAGAATGAACTCACAGAAACGAATCATGTCCATGTGAACGTTAGAGGCTGATCATTTAGTATTTCAGTTTTGCTGTAAAGCCCATTGTCATAAGCCCAGGATGACGAGTATATACAGCAGCAATTTATCATAGCCTCTCCTCACCTTGAAATACAGCAAGTGACCTCATGGAGAACTACTCTGTGTTTAGGAAGAGCCTCATATTAGAAGGGGGTATCACCAGAGATACAGGCCAGGGAGGGGTTTGGCGTTTTCGGGCTCTTTGTTAGATCTAAAGGAGGTACACTGCCACTGCCCCAGCCAAGTCATTACTTTTTATCCCGGGTGACAGCTCAGTTTCACCTTGTATGTTCTGGACAGCAGAGCAGAGCACACTCATTTCTCATGTCTTTCATGGGTTTCATAGGCCTATCACTCCATCTCTGTGTGTAGGAGGATGCACAGTGAAATGGGCAGAGCTCAGAGTTCTAAACGTGATGGGTACAAACCCAAACACCTATCTCTTACAGGAAAAACTTCAGAAAGGAACCATTTACTTTTGAATAGAATGAACAAAGCAGCTATTTAACAGTGTTCACGAAAGAGTAGGCTGGCATAGATCAGAATATACAAATTCTTTAGCCAAATAATGATAAGGAATTACTATGCCTGCTACTAGGATTCAAGCAAATTATTAGGGTCATGAAGTCTGCTCTGAACAAAAGAAGCTATTAAATTCTATCAGCTACAAATGGTCAGGATTTGAGATTTACATCTCAGCTAATCATCATACCTCCAGCTGCAGGGCTCCATAACCCTGGGACACAGCTAAGAGTTATCTCGCCCTAAGTAAAACGCTACTTAGTCGCCTGCACCACTTCCCGGACCTGCAGCAGTCCTGGGATATTGCTAAGCACTTTCCTTTTCTGCAGGTTGCCAACAGTTAAATCAAAATAATTTCTGGCTAAGCCTTCTGGGTATGCTTAGAGAGCCTCCTCATCTCTCTCTGGAGATAGGCAGTTCGGTTTAACTTATTATTACTACCTTTACTGAATGCTGACAATGTGCTGGCACAACGTACTGTCAGCAACTGGTGCGCTGAAAATAGAGTCTCTAATCTGAAGAGCAATGGGTATGGCACAAAGTTCTGAAAATATTTGAGGCCTTTCAAAGTAAGTAATTAATATCAGTATATAAACAGGCATATTTTCATTTTAAAAAAAATGTTCACAGAACATAACTTCTTGTATTATAATAACTGCTGAGTTATCTTGCGTTATTCCTTTTGGGATCAGAAGCGATTTTCTGTTGACCAAGTTACATCACAATAATATTTACCATGCTCACACCTGTGAACCAAAATAATTTGGAAGTTTTCCAGTTCCCTTCTGACACAGCTTTTCAACTTGTCCCAGATTGCCATCCTGTTTATGTAAGCGATCTACAAGGCCCCAGAGGGCAGGCTGTCCCCTGCTTATTTAGCACTGGGCACACTACCAGCTGCTGCCACTTTGTGTTCACCTACTCCAAGAGTCATCATATTGTATATTTTCTAGATAGTCCCAGTTGTCTTCAGCTATCTGACTCCATACTAGAGCCCTTGTCTCACACTTTGGCAAGAAAAAAAATGGATGACCTGCTCCTGTCCCTGCACAGACAATACATCACTTAAGGCCCTCATGAAATGAGTTCTGAGAGGTGTTGACAGCAGGACAACCCTGAACCACAGAAAAATGCAAACACTTTGCAACTGCAGAACAAATCATTCATCCAGGAGTCACCTGAATACTGACAGTCTGGGCAGGACTCCAGCCTGAAGCATCCGTGTATACAGCCCACATGCACTGTGCACCCAGAGAACATAGTAGAGGTCCCTGAGATGAATGAGACCATGTTTTCCTTCCATGAGGCTGATCAGACAGCTAGAAGCCTTTTAGTTCACACATCAAACTTACTTCAAGATATATAAAACCTTTTAGTTTCTTTTCACAGCAATACATATTATCAGCTTGGCTGGAAGTCAGCAAACACGTTTTCCAAGTTCTGCTCCTCCCAAGTTCCAGCGTGTTCAGAGAAGCATGATAAGCTATAAGCTCTACAGCTACTCTCTTTCCCAGCCGTGCTACTTCCCTCACATCCATTGTGCGCCAGTTCTGCTGGAGTCTATTGAAGATTTCCCCCTTTCCGAGCACCTCAAAACCATCCTGTTGCATGGTTTGTTCTTCACCACCCTGGATTAAAACGGAGTTGCTAACAGCAAAGAGAGTTTATTGACAAACAAGCATTGTACGGTGTCATTACAAAGTATGTACTACATTTTGATCATGCAAGGAATTAAATCACAAAACCAGTGCAAGTTTGTTATCTTGACAAATCTTAGCAAGACACTTTCTCTTCAGTTAAAAGCTCATTGTGGCTTTTTTCCTCCTTTAGTAAGGCCTTATAAAGGCTCTTTGATATCAATGAAAATCTTAAAAGGCTTTACTTAACAGTAGAACCTTAATCAATGTGGTTTAAAAGTACTGTAGTTACGCATAAAGTACAAGGAGTCAGTACCTTGAAAGTGCAAATTAGTAGAAAGAAACATTGTTACCTCTCCAACCTCCTTAAATTCATTGAATTAACTGCATAGAGAATTTGGAGCTTGTCTGTATCCTGCATCTGAATCTAAAAAGCACACATTAGTTGTACAAAGCACTCTAACAGACATTCAAGTCAAGGCCCCATTCTCTGTCACTCCCGAATAGCGTGCCCTCCCGGCCACATGAATAGCAGGGCCCCATTCTCTGTCACTCTCGAATAGCGGCAGTGCCCTCCCGGCCACATGAATAGCAGCAAGCCAGACACCACAAATTATGGCAACCCTATCTTCCCTCTGTTTCACCACTCAAACTGGGGGTGTTATCCACTGTTAAAAGCTGCCTGCAAAAGTTCAAACATCAGCCCAGCCTCATCATAACCTTCTCTGAACCACGTGGTTAATTAGTTGCCCAAGCTCAGGGCCTTTTGTCTCATATAGCCTCTCCACGCTAATCATATTTAGCACAGTAGCAAATCCAGCTTGCAAAAGCATCAAAAGAAAATTGGAAAAGATTTATCAACACCAGGGTCTCCCAAGACTTGAAGAAAGACCTCTAAGGCACTGCTTTCCAAACTTGTAGGGTAGCTTTTACATTTTTCCTATTTTGGAAACCAACCAACAACTGTTTACATTTCATGACTAAAAGGGTTTGTGTTTACACTTGCCCTTTTTTGCCAGTGTCAGGAAAACTTCAGTGTGTGGGGATGTCACAAATGCTTCTAACAGAGCAAGAGAAAGCGAGAAAGGGAGTAGGCAGAAATGGAAAAAAGAGCCATGAGGCCAAGAAGGCATCACTGTTACAGAGCAGAGAGAACTGGTGAGGATGTGCTACAATTTAAGCCGAAAGCTTGAAGAAATGCGTGCAAAGCATGCACAGCACAGCCCATGTGCATACAATGAGACCTCCAGTGGCCAAGTTCCCATTTATCATATGTCATAACCTAAAAATGACCCAAGTTTAAAACTCTGAAAACATGACATGTGCAACAGATCATCTCTGCCTGATTCCAGAGAAATCCCACACAAACACAGACACCAAGCTGACCGAGATACATGAGTCTACCGAATTTCATGAAGTTGTGAATATGCCAAATCACACCGCACAGCTCCCCTAGCCCCCACAGCATAACAAAAACATCCATCCTTTCTTGCAAAATATGCAAAACTCTTAACAACTGTCACTTAGGAGGGAACACGCTGCAAGTCACTCAAATCCTCCTCCCTGAAAGCATCCCCACACCTGCCCCCCAGATCTCAGCAAAGCCCCATCCTTGTTTTCACAGATGTAGTGCAGAACACAGCACACAGCTATTATTCCAGACAGGTACTATTTAGTTGCCTCAAGCCATCTAGTTTGTATCTGCCATCTAACTTTCAATTTCCCAAAGGCACGCTCCATTGTCATCCTGCAGCTGCTTACATGGTAGTTAAACACTTATTTTCTACAACACAAATAGTCAAAAGCTTCATTGTTCATGTTTCTAGGGAGTACAGTGAGTCTCTGGGGATAAGAAAAGGAATGCTGATGCTATAGGTATCACACTGCGGGCTCTTCCCCCTGCCCAGGAATGCATATGGCCAGCTGTGCAGTATTATACATGAGAATGTTTTTCCTTCCTGACCCTTCCCCGGGTAGCAACCACTCCACGCTCTGAAGCAAGATACTTCCTTCTCATTCTACTATCTTTTTAATTTCTCCATTATACATTACTGAAAACAAGCAACATTTTCGGAAAAAATCTCACACTTTATACTGCATTAAAATTGGTTAATCTAACATGTAGTTAAGAAAAATACTGCAGCACACCAAGGAATCAAGCATTCTCTTTATGAATGCCAGTAATGAAAAGAAAATAGAAATAGGGGTTTCCTCAACACTGTGATTTAGGAATTCCTTATACACCAATCTATTAGTAATCTCTTGAAAATTGGCAAGCATTATCAGATACAGAACCACTTTTTCAATAGCAATACAGTGACTTTTAGAAAAAAAGCCATTTCTAGGTCTGCTAATTCAGCTGTTGGGACCAGATGGCAATGGATAAACATTTTCATCAAGATACAGAAAGTCACAGCTGGCAAATAGCTTCTCAATTTCCTAGGAAACCCCCATACACATCATCGGGAAATCACATTTGATGTCCTGAAGT